GTACTGGAGCTGCTGGAGGTGCTGGAGCTGCTGAGGGTGCTGGAGCTGCTGAGGGTGCTGGAGTTGCTGGTGCTGGTGGCACTGCACAGCCGCGCCTGTTCTTTGCTCCACCGTCTCCGTCGTCTCTGCCACCGTCTGACTCCGTACTTCGCCAGGTTCTTAGCCTCCCGTCGTCTACTGGTCTTCCGTTACAGCCTGGCTCACCTCTGCCTGCTCCTTCTCCTTACGCTGAGCAGACAGGGGGCTTTACTGAGCGTCGTTAGCCTGCGTCGCGTCCTGTCTCACCTGTCCATTCTGGTCGTTCCAGTCGTCGTGTTCCTCGTCAGCGTCCGCCGGCTGTCCCCGGCCCTTCCCTTGTAGTCCGTCGTCCTGCCTCTCCTCCGCAGCGTGTTCCTCTGCCGTCTCCTCCTGAGTCTTCTCTGCCTGTTGTTCCGGACCCTGAGTCTGACCGGTTTCGTGCTGAGCACCCTACTGTCACGCGTCTGCTAGCCACTATTGTCAATGACCCGTCGCTTGAGTCTGCTGCTGCGTCTGCCTTAGTCGCTGAGCTTGTTGACTTTGCTGCTGCCTGTCGTCTAGACTACGCTGCTAGTCTTGTTGCTGAGTCTGAGTCTGTCTGTCCTCCGTCCGTCGGGGGTGAGTGTGCTCTTGGCACGGACGTCCTTGAGGACAGGCACGAGGACCTTGAGTGTTTTGCAGCCGCTGCGCCTCATCTCGTGTCCATGCTGCTTGCCCCTGAGGGAGACCCGGATGCACCAGACATCCCGACCCCGCGCTCTTACGCTGAGGCGATCGCGGGTGAGTACTCCTCTCAGTGGCAGACAGCCATGGATGCAGAGATGGCATCCTGGAAGTCCACAGGCACCTACATCGACGAGGTTCCCCCTCCTGGGGCGAACATCGACAGTGGCATGTGGATTTTCAGGGTGAAGCGGCCGCCAGGTTCTCCGCCTGTCTTCAAGGCTCGTTACGTTGCTCGAGGTTTCAGTCAGCGAGAGGGAGTTGACTTCTTCCAGACCTTCTCCCCCACCCTGAAGATGACCACTCTTCGGGTGCTGCTGCACGTTGCCGCCCAGCGTGACTACGAGCTTCACTCTCTTGACTTCAGCACAGCTTTCTTACAGGGCAGTCTGCACGAGGAGATCTGGCTGCGCCGCCCACCTGGCTTCACTGGGTCGTTCCCTCCTGGTACCCAGTGGAGCCTCCGGCGGCCGGTCTACGGTCTCCGCCAGGCGCCGCGTGAGTGGCACGACACACTGAGGACGACACTTGCGGCTCTTGGGTTTTCTCCGTCGACTGCTGACCCGTCGCTGTTTCTGCGCACCGACACTTCACTGCCGCCGTTTTACATCCTCGTGTACGTCGACGACTTGGTCTTTGCCACTGCTGACACTGAGGCTCTCGCCCTGGTGAAGTCGGAGCTGCAGAAGAGACACACGTGCACAGACCTGGGTGAGCTGACAAGCTATCACACTGAGCACGCCAGGACACACGTGCACAGACCTGGGTGAGCTGACAAGCTATCACAGACCCGGGACAGAGCATGCTGCACCATCACACTGACTCAGTCACACATGGTGCAGCAGGTCCTTCAGCGCTTCGGCTTCACCTGGTCCTCGGCACAGGCCACTCCTCTGGCTACAGGTCACTCGCTCTCAGCTCCACCTTCGGACGAGTCCGTAGAGCTGAGTGGTCCTTACCCAGAGCTAGTGGGCTGCCTCATGTACCTGATGACCTGCACACGACCTGACCTTGCGTACCCTCTCAGCCTCCTGGCTTGCTACGTGGCTCCCGGTAGACACCGAAAGGTGCACTGGGAAGCTGTGAAGAGGGTATTGCGTTACTTGTGCAGTACATCGGGCATGGGGCTCGTGCTTGGAGGACGGAGCGACGTTGTCCTCACTGGGCACTCAGACGCTTCTTGGGTTGACGACCAGGCTACGCAGCGGTCGTCACAGGGTTACACCTTCAGCCTTGGCTCTGGTTCGGTTTCTTGGCGTTCTACACGCTCGTCTTCAGTTCTCGGCTCCAGTTGTGAGGCTGAGATCTACGCCACAGCCATGGCTGCACAGGAGTTACGCTGGCTCACCTACCTGCTGACCGACTTGGGAGAGAGGCCTCGTTCTCCTCCAGTGCTGTACGTCGACAACAAGGCCGCCATTGCCTTGTGTCAGGAGCACAGACTGGAGCACAGAACAAAGCACATCGCTCTGCGTTACTTCCTTGCTCGAGAGCTACAGCAGCGTGGTCAGCTTCGTCTTGCTTACGTGGCCACTCGGGCCAACACTGCTGATATATTCACCAAGGCGCTTCCGCCTGGTGATCATCAGCGTTTCTGTACTTTGTTAGGCCTTGTGCCCACGTTTCCTCACTTGCTGTAGGCTTTGTTTGTACTGTGATCCATATATATACCTGCATGCGTGCTCTGGTAGGTAGAGATCACTGTGCTGTTGTTGTTACGTATATATCTCTGCATGTGAACTGGCCTTGTGGCCTTGTGCTTGTGCTCAGACTGCGTGGTGACGTTGTGATCCACCCTGAGCTTGCTTTACACTTCCTGAATGGTCTTGTGACTCTCTGTTCTCCCCCACTTTGCCTATGGGGGTGTGTCAAACATATAGTTATATGTTATAGTTTGGGTAGGCTTAGTGGGGTACTCACTGTGGGGTACAACCCCTTAGGTTTTACTTTTGTACCAAAACTCCTCGATAGTTGAATCATCCCTTGACTTAGTCTTGATATCAACACCGCCCCAGCTTCAGCTTCGACCCTCAAGCAGTCAAGTGCCTTCTACACAGGCGCATCCCACCAATCAAGTACAGTCGACATCGACGACAAAACCTGCACAAGGCACAAGAAACATCGTGAGCTGCATGGCAAGAACGACAGATTCCTGCATCACCGGATCGCCACCCTACTACTCACCAGAAGAACAACTCGACGAAAGCATTCCTCGCCGTGAATCATTGGAGCCGAATCCGACGTATGCAGCTATTGCCCAAAGCGAGCCATCCGGAAAAGATACTTGGTTCCTAGACAGCTGATGTGGACAGCACATGTGCTCTTCCGCAGATGCATTTGCAGATGCTTGTGCTGGTGCATTCGCCGTAGATTGCTGGCGGGCGGAGTCGCGTTCCGATGTGAGCGCGGCAATTTCGAGCGTCGAATCTTCGAGCTGGCGCACGAGCCGGTCGAGCTGCTCCTTCGTCAATGTCGCAATGTTGAATTCGGCCATGGCGGGGGTGTCGGGCAAGCTCAGCGAGAGCCTCAGTCGTGGCCGTGCGTGCTTTCGAGAGAGCACTTCGAGCGGCGGTGCCTGAACGCTGAGGGACGTCTACCCCCCCAAAAAATGAGATAGTGGGGAAGCGAAGGTATGGGTGTGGTCCGAGAAGAGATCGTAGGTTCTGAATACCAAGTGTTACGAGTGCAATTGAGTGAGCGAGCAAGAATTGCAATATCGAAGCAAACAATACATTGAGCGAATGCATGAGCGAAGAATATATAGCGAAGCTAGCGTGGTAACGGTAACGCGAGAAATTGGGGTGCGCTACGGGCCTAGCGCCGAGGTCTGGGAAATTGTCGAGGCGGAGGTCCGGAGCGCGGGTTACCAACCGAACCGTGAGGTTGGGTCGCATCGTGAACAGTGGCGGGAGTCGTGGTCGAGGCGAGTGTCGCGAGCGGGTAACGTTTCACTGTTGGGTGCCGGTGGTGGGAATGGTCATGTACGCGGTAAGCAGGTAAAATGTAATCTAACACATCATGGATTTTGCGTTTGTAACACAAAATTCCTCCGTTCCCCGCCGCGCGCCCCGCACACATTTTGAAGCACTGTCAGGGTCGCCCGCCACACAGAACAGCCGCCACCTTGCCGCCATCAGCACCCATCGGGAACTCCAGTGGAACCTTTCTCAAACCTGCGGAACCGAAGATCACCAGCTGATAAAGCTCTTTGCAGCATATGTGCTGTGGAGTGGAAACTATTTCAGTAGCCAAGCCTTCCTATCCCATAAGCTAATCTATCAGTTCAAGCCTCTCCGATTCCTTGCATTCCTGATAAGCTCGTCTTCTCAGTCCCGCTCAGCAACGTTTCCAGACGCTCATTCCACACGGCGTTGGTACACGCGCACATAGACAGTTCCATGGCCTCACTTCCTACCTTTACGTCGACTCCCACCAAGAAAAGAGAGATCGCTTTTCCGTCCACACCCGTCAGGCGGTGCACACCTCGCGCGGACGTTAACGTAAGCTTTCCGAAACTTTGAAGTCGTTCAAGCCTTTTCTTGTGTTCTCAGAATTTGCAAACCCTTTCTCATTTTTTCTCGTATTTTCTACTCTGATTCAGGCATCCGCGTCTGACCGGTTCATTCCAAGCCGTGGAAACCTGTCCAAATCACAAGCGCGCATGCTGCTTGCTTCTGGCGCGTCATCTCGAGCACCAGTCAGCAAGCACGGGGACTCCGCCGCTGTGACGACGCCAGCACAGGTCAGAGACGCAACGACGTCGCGTGATTGCAGAACCGTTTTCCTTCGCGCATGTCGCCTTTTTATTTACTTTAAGCAGACTTTACCAGGATTTTAACAATTTTCTCGTTTTTTTCCGCGAAGGAGAGCTATCGTCGGCAACTAAACACGCGCCTGCTGGACGATCTACAGACGGCCTCGGGAACTCCTCGTCGCATGCTTCAGTTCGGATCCACGGACAACGAGGCACACGGCGGCGATGGGTCCACTAAGGGCCATCATAGGCTCGAAAAGAGCCGCGACTTTTGGGCGAGCCCGACAATGGGAACCGCGCCGACCGGCACCAAGACCGGCCAGAAACGCGGCGGGCCCTTGAATCTGCAACAAAATGTCCGAATCGTCGATCCTATTTTCTCGCTGTCAAGATCATTTAACCTTTTTCTTTTTATGACGATCGCTCATGCCGTTTCTCTCCTTGTGTTTCCCCCTCCTTGGGACTCCGTCCTCAGCACGCGGACCTGGTGCTCGACGCGCCGGACATGGCGGACAATTTCTACCTGAACCTGCTGGACTGGAGCAGCAAGGGCGTGGTGGCCATCGGGCTGGGGAGCGCCGTGCACGTGTGGAACAGCGAGACGGGGTCCGTGAGCGAGGTGGTGTCGGGCGACAGCGATGTCACGTCCCTCGCGTGGGCCGACAATGGAACGCACCTCGCCGTCGGATTTGAAGACCACGCGGACTGCGTGCAGCTCTGGGCTGTCGAGCCGTGCAGGAAGGTGCGATGACGTGGGAGATGCCGCTTGACGGTCAACCGTGAATTCCGCGTCTTCGGTGGCTTCGTATCGATGGTTTCGGTCGTCACAGTTACTAATATTCTGACTCTTTTCTGGTGTGGCAGATTCGCGACTTGGCCGGGCACAGCGACCGCGTGAGCGCGATGCACTGGGGAGCGTCGTACCAGCTCGCGACGGGCAGTCGAGACACGTCCATCATCACGCACGACGGTACGAAACGTCTTTCTGTCGGAAAACCCTGACGTCCCCGAGTCTCCGCCATTTCAGCAAGCTTCTCGATCCGCTACCAGCTCGTTCCGTTTGCTTATTTCTTTGCCCTCCAGTTACTTATTCATGTAGTTTTAATTACTAATTTACTTTTACTTTATCCGTCGTTCGCAGTGCGAGTGGCCAGCAACGCGGTATCCCGCCTGCGCGGAGTGCACAGGGATGAGGTGTGCGGGCTCCGCTTCGCGCCCATCTCCTCCGCCGGCATCAGCGGCGGATCCGCCGCCACCGTGCTCGCCAGCGGCGGCAACGACAACCTCGTCGCCGTCTGGGACCTCCGCCGCGCCGCTTCCGCTGCGGCCTCCGCTGCCTCCCTGGCGGGAACGGCTGGCGCTACCTCTGGCATGGAAGCGAACCCGACAGCCCAAGCGTGCGTGCATCGGTTCCCGCAACACCAGGCCGCGGTCAAGGCCCTTGCATGGTGTCCCACACAGGTAACTTCCTTCTGCGCCTTTCCGAACTCTTCAGCGACATCGCGCCTCCCTCCGTGATAAACAATCCGAGTTTGCGCAGTACTGAGATTTATACTATTTTCCTGGATCACCTGGTACATAGTACTTGCTCGTATGTTTCGTCCCTTTGACTTCGTGTCGTATTGCTAATGATTGGTTTTGCTTTTCTTTTTGTGTTTCTTCTCAGCGACACATGCTGGCGACGGGCGGCGGGTCAAGCGACAAGAGCATCAAGGTGTGGAACGCGCAGGAGGGGTCGCTGCTGTCGTCCACCTTCACGGGGTCGCAGGTCACGGGCCTGTCCTGGGGGCCCTCGTCGCGCCACCTCATCAGCGCGCACGGCTACAGCGACAACGCCATCTGCGTCTGGGCCGTCGGCGCGAGCGGTGGGGCGACTGCGAGCGCGAGCGTTGGCGCGGGAGCGGGTGCTGCCGGAGCTGGCTCCTTGCTGCAAGTGGGCAAGCTTACAGGCCACCGCGGTCGCGTCCTTCATATGGCTGTGGTGAGCTTGCTGCTGTTGGTCGGATACGCGACGCGATGAGCTTTGTTTTAATCGGCGGTTCAGCTTGAGATCTAACCGCATTCGTGCGCGTGCGTGTTGTGACCTGGCAGGCGCCCGACCGGCGAACAGTGGCCACGGCAGCAGCTGATGAGACCCTCCGCGTGTGGAAGCTCTTCGGGTCGCCGCCCCCAGCTGCGGACGGCGGGAGGAGCGGAAGGGGGATGGGGGAGGCAGGGATGGAAGGAGTGAGGGAGAGGGAGAGAGAGGAGAGGTGGTTTGGGGGGGCGGGCGGCCATGTAAGTGAGGCGATGCGAGGATCCAAGAGCAACATAAGGTGAGATACTGATGCCTTTTCTTTGACCTCCTCCCCACCCCCACCTCCCTCCTCCGCTTTAAGTGGACGGTCCCTGGTCATTCATATGCTGCTGCTGGTGCCTTTCCAGTTTCCCATCTTTCGTCCTTTGGTTCTCTTTCCCGTTTCTGTCTGTAATAAACTACTGACCAAGCTGACATACTAACCGACTCTCCTTCCCCCCCGCCCTCCGCCTCCCTTCTCTCCGCCTCCCCTCTTCCCCTCCCCCTGTCCCCCTGTCCCCGTGTTCCCTTCCCGTTTCCCCTTCCCTTTCCCCCCATCCCGCCCGCCCACCGAGGATCTTTCCGAGCCAACAAACGCCTACCGCCCTCCCTCTCTCCGTCCGGTCGCCTGCTGCGACCAAGACCCAAGGCAAGCCCATGTACCCTACTTTCACTTGGATTCAGATTCCGCCTTCATGCTCCGCCTTTGCCAGCGATAGGAGCCGTTAAAACCTTGGTGATTTACCTGGATGCTGATTTTTTCTTGTTTGTGTCGTCGCTTGCAGATCGACTAACTCTCTATGACCGCTCCCTTGACGACCGCTCGTTTGACGACCGCGCGCTCGACGACCGTTCGCTCGACGAACGCTCGCTCGTTCTCGCTTTGAGCCTCAGAGTTCTGTCGGCCTGCCTAAGCCGTCTTGTGCGACGGGCATCCGTCGTCGCGTTGGCTGTCATGGTGCATCACGCATACGGCAGCAACCATGCGCGCACTATCTGTGCAGACCGCCAACCCTTCTGCCGCCATCGTCTGCAACATGCAGTCATGACAATGGTGTCAGAGTTGGTGAATTTGGTTCGAGAAGACGAGGCTGACAATCCAAGGCTCGTGATTCCTCGTGAGATAGGACCATGTTGTGACTGTTGGGACACATTATATGAAATACAAGCTGTAGTCACATATTGTCTAACAATTTCCAGTAAATTCCTATGAGTGCATGTTACATGTTTGCGATTCGCATGCGAGTGTAGCAGAGATTCGGAGCTCAGAGCACAGTAACGTTCCGTTCCAAACCGAATCGTGAAGGGAATTTGTGGTGGTGCTGGTGAGCAGCAGCATTGGAAAGAGGCTGGTAAATGCATGTTGTCGTTGTCGGCGAGGAAGGTGGTTGGGTTTCGTTTCGTGTCGTTCGGTTTGGTCCTTACCGTTCACTCGTCCTGTCTGCTGAGAGTCCGACAAACTCGAGATCGGACCATCACCGCAACACGACGACGAACATTCTCCCAGGCCAATCATCCTACCCCGCCCGAGAAGGCCTTCGCTGCCGCTACAAGGGAAAATGCCCTTAATGCCCTGAACATCAGCCCGTTAAAGCTGCGGTCTACATTCATCTAGGTATTTTCCGGGGTTATTTAGGATGCACACCCAACGACGCACGCTGATTTGCTTACGAATGACCCGCTTCCAGTATCAGTAGGTGCGAGGGAGTCAAACAGAACTGGCGAAATCCGCAAGTTTCGTGATCTGGTTCGGTTGGGAAACAACCCTCGGCGACTTCGCGATAATTTCGTGAGGCTGGGTTGGGGAGGGGATTGGCGAAATTAATTAGCCAATCATGAGCAGGGAAATTACAGGCGGGTGTTGTGTTGTCACAAACTCGGAAACACACCTCGCCACTGAAGCGGAAGGCTACCTGGTTTTCAAGTGATAAACCAGCGCCTCTCCCACCAGGTATGTAGACGACAGCTTTAAAACCCGGGGGCCAAGAAGGCCAAATTTGGTTCATCCTTCCTAGTGTTGGTTGGGTGTCCCAAAATCGCCTGTGATTTTCCCGAGTTTCTACCACCTCGTCCAACAACTTCGACACTCCTATTGGCTCACGGGCAATTACCGTCCTCACTCCCAACCAACCTTCCTAAGCTTGAATATCTTGGCCCGCGGGTTTTAAGTGTTCGAATCGGGCCTATTTCAAGTGTCACTTTTGGGGCTAGGCCTTTCTCTCCGAAGTGACCTCCTCCCCTCTTCCACAAAACCCCATTCCCCGTCGTCCCGGTTCCCACAATATTTGGGGCACCTCAGCCTTCCAAATCTGCCCCCAGAGTAATTTTTATTTTTTTCAACAAGGGTCCACCAGTGCAGCCGGGGCGGGTTGATTTCCAGTGCAGGGTAATCTCTCACTATCTGATAATAGCCCTATTTGAGAAGAAAAATGTTGCCGCAAAATTAACCCCGAGAGGACGGTAGACTGAGTTGCGATTGTTCGGTGATCATGCATTACAATAGATGTTCTTGCCTACCTTTCACTTCCGAGTCTTGGAAGCAGTCTCCAGAGTTTCCAATAAGTTGAGCGAACAGGATCCCAAATAACCAGCATCAGCTGCAAACAAAATCCCCAGCAGGAGGGACCTGGGTTCTGGAACACTCAACTGCCTCCACCTCTATGGTCGTTTCGTTCACGCTGGACTAACTGACCAGCCACATGATACTCACTGAACCACCACTTTTAACAGGCCCAGAGGCAACCGATAGGAGCAGCGGTCGATGGTGACGGGCAACAGCCAACAGTTTACATGCCCACGACAAATCACTACTGCTAATAAGTTACCCGTATTTCTCATACAAAGCACGTAGGGCTACCCGAAATTTGGGATCCGTAGTTGAGGTGGTAACCCCAGTACGACGTTCAGGTCGAATTTTCCCCTAACTGCCACGAGTGGATAAGAGGAGCAAAATGCAAGCTGGGATGTAAGGGGAATAAAGGGGCAAAATGCAAGCTGGGATGTCGCTTACCTCCTGGTAGAGTGAACATTACGTCAGAGTGACAAGAGTGCCACTGCACACACAGCGCAAGGAAGGTGCCCCATTTACTACACCTTGTCCTTGCGAGGAACACTAGAGTACGACAACGTAATCCGGCCTGAAAGAGCGGGCCTGCGATGCGACTTGACGTCTGCGTTCTTTCAACCAATTTAGGAGATCAGGCCAGCAAGCAAGAGCAAAGCATGCGTCCCGAAACGATCCTTTGCCTCGCAGTATCTGAGTCAGTTCTCCTTGTTCTCCGTGCAAAGTTACGACACGACTTTGAAAGGATTTGCCGTCAGTTTTCCGCTGTCGTCCCAACGGAACAGTACTTTCTGAAACGTCCTCACCCGCGCCGCCTATGTCGCCGCATCAGCGGCCATGGCTGCATTTACTGTGCATTGTGCTGTTAGTAGTCTGGCAACTGCCTTCCCTGACTCTTCCCCCCAGCAAATACGACGGGACCGCCGTGAATCGCGGGGAGAGAATATGGGGCGGTGGGGGTGCCGCGCGACCGCTCCTCCTGGCGGCTAACGCGGCGCCAATTGCGGCGACGGACAGCTTCACTTCGCCGTGCAACGAAGAATCCACAAGTAGGAACCGAGTCGGAGATGATGGAACGCGAGTTCATCCGCGTTTTGCTATCACCACCAGTGTTGACGCTCAGTGAGCGTCAGAGCCGGCTGAGCGTCCATCGCGGAAAAGGGTTTGGCCTAAAATCGCGTTTAAAGAGGTGTTGCGACAATATTTTTTGAAGCGAAGAGAGAATGAAACAAGTCTGACAAAACACTGCTTGAAACAAAACGTGCGGGCAGAGTGACCTCATGTGATTGGCTCTCGCCAAAATGGGATGTTGTGGCTCCCGCCAGAATGGACTTTCCCGCTCACATTTCTGCGACCTGCACTTGCATGACTGTTCCCTGGCGATGGTTTCCATCGCAAGGCCAACTTCAATATCAAGCTGGTTCTGGGTCCATAACTCCCTGATTTCTACTCCCTTACTCGCTAGTTTTTTTCCACACGTTTTGTTTTGCGGAAAGCATATGTGCTTGAGTCATAGGCATAGAATTATCGACGACTGCGTTTATTCGCACGAGTGCGTGATTTAGTATTACGTAGCCTAGTAGCGCAGTGCTATCCTTCCCGCCAGCAGCACAATCGTCAACCTCCGCGTCGCCGTCAGCCCATATCGCCTTTCCCTCGCCATTACCTTCGCCCCCCCTTTATCCGTCGCACTTCGCGTACCCTCCCCGTTTCCCCTCCCATCACCCACTTCGTTACATTCTCGCTCGCCCTGAAACGCCCTCTCGTCGCCCTTCTTTTCTCCCCTCCCGTCACCCACCTCGTTGCCTATGCGCTCGCCTCGAAATCGAGGCGCACTCTCGTCGCCTACCACGTCTCCCCTCCTATTACCCACATCATCGTAATCACCCTAAGCCCGCAATGCCCCCTCGTTGCGCGCAGTCGACTCTCCTCGCCCATCGCCCTGGCGCTGGCCTTGAAACTCCCTCGCGGCTCCCTTCTTCACTCCCCTCCCATTACCCACTTCGTCGCCATCGCGCTCACGTTCTTCCCTTCCCGTCGCCATCGCACTCACGTTCTCCCCTTCCCCCGCCATCTCGCTCACGTTCTCCCATCTTCGCACCACCTTCGCGCTCATGGTCTCCCCTTCTATCACCTTCGCGTTCAGAAACTCCCCTTCCTTCTCCCAAGCACCACACGTTCTCCCCTCCCCTCGCCATCGCCTTCACGTTCTCCCGTCGTCTTCGCATCGCCTTCGCACGTAGATTCTCCCCTCCCATCTCCCTCGTGCTCACGTTCTCGTCTCTCATCGCCTTCGCGCTCGCACCTCCCATCCCTTCCTGTTGCCCTCGTGTTCTCCCGTCCTGTCCCGTCGCCTTCGCGCTCGCACCTCCCGTCCCGTACCGTCATCCTCGTGCCCTCCCTTCCCCAATGCCCCTCCCATCACCCAACCAGTAACCTTTGCCCCCTTATTCTCTCCCTTCGCGTCCGTGTTTCCGTCGGCCTCTCACTCTCCTCTTCCGACTCCTTGACTCACTTTGTTTATCACCTTCTCCTGTTTGTTTTTCGCTGCCGATGCAAGTGTTTGTCACTGCATGTGGAATTCCTCCGACGTATAACTGGGAATTTGAATGTGGAACGAATGTGAATGTGGCACGAATGTGATATTGGCACCCCTTACGACACATTTGCCCAACCCTGCGACCAGATTCCTCGATCAAAATCGGAAAGATGATTCAGTATCAGGAAAAAAAGAAAACCTGCAACACATTACACCCTACAAACAAAGCCTCTCAATCAGTATATCAAGTGGACCCAACTAGAAGGGGGGGGTCACTATTTTGCATGCGGGTTTTAAGTCCGAAAGCTGCAGGAAAGTTGCTGATTTGTATCGGGAATGTATCCAAAAAGCATTGACTGAATTTTGCAACTCACACAAATTTCGGATACAAGGGGTAACCGAGCCGCGAATTTTGGGTACGTGGGGTACCCGAGGCGCGAATTTTGGATTCGTGGGTTTCTCGGACCGCACATTTCTAGCATCAAATTCGAAACCTTGGCACCGAACAGCACACCTGGTCACGACCAAAAATTGAGAGTCCCCCTTGCTGTGAACACCTGGTGTCCGATCGATGAACACTTGGCACAAAGTAGGTTAGCTTTCTCGAAAGTTGCGAGCACAGTAACGTTGATACAAAACCGGACGACCGTCGCCAAGGTACAAACAGGAATCGGAACTGGCAACAGGCACAAGGGGTTCACAGTCACACCCAATCAGTGCTAAGTGTTCAGATTTCGGGTACTGACGTGGCTTCCCAGGACCAAGGTTTAGCTAACCCGTAAGGGCCATTTTCAGGTGCAATCCACTCTTGCTAGGAAATCTTCTCATGTGCGATCCAAGTTACTGTGCAGTTACGAACACTAGATTCATTTTAAGGAATTTCAGTCGATTATGATTTATCATCCGATATCCGATTCGAAATACTACAAACAGTCCAAATCAAAGGCGATTTCGGATCACGCCAAGCAAAATCCGAATGGACACGTCATATTTGCCCAATTTCGACGACAATTTCTGCTTCGCACCAGAAGTTTAATAAAACAATTCTTATGCGGGATCAGCTGTACTGTTGACGCAGGTGACGGAAGCTCCGCAGGGCAAATCAGCATTCCGTTCTTGGGCGTGTACCCCAAAACACGAGAAGACTGCTCGGGTGATAACAGGGTTATCCCTCATCGTAATAAATACCATGCTGGATTTTGTTTTCGCACTAGACGACGCTACCAGAAAAGAAGATTTATTTCTGGTAATATATATATTTTTTCTGGTGGCGTCGTCTAGTGCGGAAACAAAATTCAGCTTGGTATTTATTACGGTGAGGGTACTCTTTATTATCATCCGGGCAGTCTTCTCGTGTTTTGGGGTACACGCCCAAGAACGGAATGCTGATTTGCCCTGCGCAGCTTCCGTCACCTGCGTCAACAGGACAGCTGATCCCGCATAAGAATTGTTTTAGTAAACTTCTGATGCGAAGCAGAAATTGTCGTCGAAATTGGGAAAATATGACGTGTCCATTCGGATTTTGCTTGGCGTGATCCGAAATCGCCTTTGATTTGGACTGTTTGTGTTATTTCGAATCGGATATCGGATGATAAATGATAATCGACAGAAATTCCTTAAAATGAATCTAGTGTTCGTAACTGCACAGTAACTTGGATCGCACATGAGAAGATGTCCTAGCAAGAGTGGATTGCACCTGAAAATGGCCCAACCCGTAACGAAGTGTTCGAACCTTATGATTTTTTACTAACCAACGGCATTGTTTGACGACACATCAGCCCACCTCCAAGCTCTAGAAGCATCTACCTTCATTACCCTCACTCTGCGCCTGACTCTCTCCCGCACAAGCATCCGTCTCCTTCCTCATTTTCACACAACTGGCTCAGGTTATTCAATTCTCGCCCACGTCTTGGTGCCTCTGAGTGTCTTCTTACGCACCAACTAGAGTCTACCCGAAGACCATGTCAGTTCTATTTCTTATTGCATTTTATCACCGCTGCTTGTAACTCAGATCTATTTTACGATTTCTGCCCCTGCGAAACCTCCCCTTTCCTTTTACAGATTTAACTGCAGCGTTTTCTTCACGCGGAGAACGTGGCACCAGCGACTAGTATCGGAGTCGCCGGGTTTAGCGCGAAAAGTGCCGAAAGGTGTGCTACACATGCTTTCTGTAACTCGAGACAAAGCTATCATTTTCCCCACGCGTGTGCCTTAGGCTGTAACTCGAATATTTGTTTCCACTCGTTCATCTATTCTCACGCCATATGCTTGCGAGCAATCGACTTGTTCGTATCTTCCCGATATGTGTGCAGATCTTTCGCCTTGGCTTGTGACTTGTACATTTTTTCCAGCCCCTGCCACTCCTCCCATTCCCTCTTCAAATTAATCAGTTGCGCTTCTTTTTGTCCCCAGCCTCCCAATACTGCTCGCTTGTGTAAGGTCGCTCTATCATCAGCTTTCGGTTTGCCTACGATTAGTAGCGAAATCGCAGGCTTCGACGCCAGAAGCGCCGGCGAAGCTATGCGTTCTTGTTTCTTATCTTCCCGTACTGTGGAGATATGTCGCCTTATCATGTACCTCGTATTTTTTTTATTCCCCGCCCCTGCCAGTCTTACCATCCCGCATACACAGCTCATCGGCTAGCTCTAACGCTAACGTTTATCTGTCTTTGTTCTGTTAGTATTCTTCTGTGTGTGGTATCAAGATTGTTGCAGGGATAATGGAAGTCACGAGATTTGATTTCATTTTTATACTTTTTGCAGGGGTCTTATCAAGACCCAGTAGCTATCAACTCACATTCACGGCAATGTTATTAGTTGAAGTCAAGGCCCGCGTGTGGTATGTCTGCGAGGTAAGGGACAAGCATAATACTAAACATGTTTTAACTCTTTGTTGTGTTCCTGTTTGCAGGCACTAAATTAAGGTAATTTCGCCTCGTGTTCATCTAACCAGAAGCTATGTAGACGTTGGTTTAGCGGTGCTGGTTTTCTGGCTAGATTGTGCACTGTGTATACTGTTAAATATGTATGCAAATGTGTCAGATAAAATATATTTTATACCTTCGAAACCTGCAACAAATAGCCCATAAGAACGCATGCTTCGCTTTCAGGCAAAACAATGGCCTAAAGTATTCAATTTTCGCACGAACCTACAGCTTCTTTGATTGGTCCACATGGCAAGCTGCCGTTCACATATCGAGAATGACACCTGGCAGAAATATCTTTGCTTACGTGGCAAAATATCTTCGCGAACGTACCAGCGTACGTACACTTCGAAGTCGAAACTGTACGCATGCCACGTGGCAGGTGGTGAAACTGCATACATGTGACTGAAATGTATACGCAATGTGTCCAAAGAGTGTCCGCTAAGTTGCGGTTGAGTTGCGGGAAAGTTGCAGAAATGCAACTTTTTTGCAACTTTCCAGTGACTTGGTTTTCTGCAACCTTCGTCCATCACTGCCAAGCTGCAAAACCAAAGTATCCAAAAAGTCACTTTCTTGCAAGTTTCCCGCAGCCTCCAGGCAACTCCTTTTTCGCGATGTCACAGCCGTCTCACTGAGTGTCCGTTTCGGCGGCAGGCGTCGAAGTCGGTCGCCGGTGGTCCGCACTGCTTGAACTTTCACACTGTGTTAGGCCTTAGCCTTTCAATTCAAGAATCCCAGTCGTACCGGTCATGAGCCAGATCGCTCACGCTCACTCACGGTGACGCCTCGTCGTGGTTGGTTCACTAAGCGCTTTCCCCTCCCCTCCTCACGCCCCCAATCCTTCCCCCTCTCCCTTCCCGCCCTCTTTCCCCTCACTTCCCGCGCCCTCCTCCCTCCTCCGCCCCATCCCCATCCGTCCGCGTTCCCCGTCCTCTCCTCCTCCCCCTCTCCCCGCGTGCGTGCAGCGTTCGAGCGGTGGAGCGACGCGGCGACGTGGGGGGGCGGAGACATTCTGGGGCAGGGCGCGCTGGAGGGCGCGAACGTGACCATTCCGTGCGGCAAGGCCGTGCTGCTCGACACGTCGCCCGTGCTGCTCACTCTCCTCAATATTCAAGGCGTCCTCATGTACTCCCCTCCCTTCCCCATCCCCCCCTTCCCTTCTCCTTCCCCGTTCCCTCCCGTCCCCACTTCCTCTCCGCCACCTCCCTGCGTCTGCTCTCTTCCCGTGGTTGCATCTTTCGGAGTGCTCAGCTCACTTCATGCCTTCACCTGACCGAATCCCTTCCCGTCCCTACCATCTCCCTTCCTTCTATCCCCTCCTCCCCCCCGGTTTCCTCCACTTCCCGCGCTCCCTTTCCGCCCTTTCTCCTCTTCCCTCCCTTCATTCGCCCCCATCTCCCGCCCCTCCCCGTTTCCTCCCTTCCAACACACACTCATCTCCCTTCTCCCTCCCTCCTCCCAGGTTCGAGGACACTGCCTCCCTCCCTCAGTTGCTCCTCAACGCGTCCTTCATTCTCCTGCAGGGCCGTCTGGCCATCGGCGCGCAACAGCAGCACTTCTCCCAGCGCGCCGTGCTCACGCTCACGCCCAACCCCAGCGCGCGCGCGCCGCTGCTCGTCGCCGACCCCCTGCCCGCGGACGCCGCCAATCCGCGCAACCTGGGGCACAAGGCGCTCGCTGTGGTGCGCAGGCGGGGGTGGGGGGGGGGGAAGGGATTGTGCTGCGTAGGGGCGAGGGCGTGCTTGTGTATTGTGTGTGCATGTGCATCTCTCTGTGTGTGTCTATCCGTCCACCCGTCCACCCGTCCACCCACCCAGCCATGCAACAGTCTTCTTCCTTCATGTTCCAGCCCAGCGCGCTTTCCTCTTCCCTCACCTGCCTCCTACCACAACTCTCCACTCCCATCGCAACCAGCATTCAACTTATATTCCATCATCTTCCCTGCTAGGCACGGCAGATGGATAATGGCGCGGCGCTGCATGCCCCTCCGCCCCCCCTCTCCCTTCCCCGTTTTCTTTCCACTTTCCTTTCCCTACAAGCGAACGCGCCGGTTTGAACCGAGCCGAACTGATGGTCATGTCTACCTGCACTCCGTACTCCTTACTCCGTTAATCCCTTTCCTGCTTTCTCCCCTCCGCCCTCCCCCATCCCCTCTCCCCTTCTCCACTTCTTCCCCCCACCCCCACCCCCCCCCCCCCCCCCCCTCCGCCCCCTTCCCCCCGTCCTTCTCTTCCCCTGCAGCTAGGAGGGCGATTGGATCTGCACGGAATGCCCGGGGGGCCTTCCACCCGCTCCTGGTGCCAGCTGACGAAAACGGCGGCAGCTGGCGCCACGTCACTGCTGGTGGGCGCTGACGTGTCGGGGTTGTCAACGGGAGTTGTGTGTTGGCCCCGTCCTCGCTTGGGCGGAGCCGACTTCGTGGTCGGGTGTGAGGGGAGCAGCCGACCTGCAGCAGTGGGCGAGCTGGTTGACGAGGAGGTCGACCTGCACGGGGGCCACTGCATGGGCGCCGACTTCAGGGTGGCGCCGACTTCAGGGAGGTCGACCTGGGAAGTCGACCTGCGGAGGACGTCAACTTGGTGACGTCAACTTGGGGCAGCCGACTTGGGTGGTCGGCTGACAAGACTGCTGGTCGACCTGGTGGTTGGTCGACCAGGCCTGCTGGTCGACTTGGTGGTGGTCGACCAGGCGGGATGTCGACCTGGTGGTCGACCTGACCTGGTGGTCGACGAAGGAGGGGCCGACGTCGACCTCGACTCAGGACGCCGAGCAGTTGGGCGTCGAGTAGCTGGGCGTCAACTTCGTGACGCCGACTTGGGTGGTCGGCTGACAACTGCGCTGGTCGACATGGAGCTGGTCGACCAGGAGTGCTGGTCGACGTGGAGCTGGTCGACCAGGAGTGACGTCGACCTGGGGCTGGTCGACCAGGGGTGTGGTCGACCTGGTGAGGTCGACTTGGAGTGGTCGTCGACTTGGGAGGTCGACGGGCACATACGGGAACAGCTGGTCGACCTGGTTGCCCGGTCGACCAGGTTACCTGGGTGACGAGGTTCTGCGGAGGAGTGCGACGGTCGCCCAGGCGAAGTTGGCGAGTCCGACCTCGGTGGTGGTATCCCGAGGTCGACGTGGCAGATCAGGTGGAGTCATCAGCACGAGGATGACATGGTGTGTGCGTTGTGCAGGTGACGAGGCTTAGCCCACCAATCATCTGCGAGCACCTGCGAAGTAGGTGCGCTGCTGTTCTGCGGGAGCAACGCTGGCACGCCGTCAACCTGCTGCGTTGGCACGCCGTCGACTTTGCACTGCTGGAGCGCGGTCGACCAAGTCGTGCTGGAACGCGGTCGACCATGCTGCGCTGGCAGTCGACCGACCTGAATGCTAGCTCTGATGTAGTCTTGCCATGCCAACTTCATTGTACCATTGTTGTCAACTATTCTTAGTGAAACTCTTGCCAACTTACCCCGTGAACTAGCAAGCAGTGTGTGCACTAGGAAAACGACTAAGGACCAACGAACGCAGAGATCACACGAGCACCCGTGCCTAGCCCGTAGTCTAGCTCCCGTTGTAGTAGTTATCTCCGCATGGTGCGGTGAGCGTGGACAGCACACGACTTACCTTTCAGTCAGATCGACGTAGACACCACTTACCTAATTCGTAGTTGCAGGCCGGCAGCTGTGCGGTAGTCACTATGGTAGGAGCCGTAGGTGACGCAGGGGTGGTGGACACCCTGGAGGCACGGCTGGAGAACGCGAGGAGAAGGCACGAGGCCAACGAGTAAGGCGATCTGCCTTGGGCGGTCGTCGAGGCTGGACTCCGCTTCATGTGGGCGACGGAGCACCCTTCTCGACCTGCCTCTCCTCGACCGGTACACGACGAAGGCGGCGTCGACGTGGGCGTCAACGCTGGTGGTGGTCAAGTCGGCAGCAGTGCGGGAGGCACGTCGAGACAGCGAGGTGTGATACACGCCGGTGAAGCCGGCGGCGTTCAGGCGCGAGGGGTGCAGTCGTCGGCGGCTGCAGGCTCCTCGCAGGGTGACGTCGGAGGTCGACGAAGCGGATTGTCGCCGATGTCGGCGACCCAGGTGACGGCGGGCGGAATAGCACCGAGCTACGGCTACTTCAAGTTTACGCCGGATAGGATCTTGGTCACCCCGCCGCTCGTTGGTCGACAAGACATCCTCACCTGGAAGGAAGCCATCGAGCCCCAGCTGGAGATGGCCGGGCTGATCAACTTTGCCCGAGGAGCCGTGGTGACACCAGACGACCCCGACCTGCGTGCGGAGTTTCGCGCCGTGCAGCTGTTGACCTTCATGGTCATCTCGCGGTGCTGCTCGCCGGGCGTGCAGATTGCCTTGAAGTGGTGTCGGGAGTACCTCGACGCCGGCCACCAGGCGTGGCCACTTCATTGAGTCGACCTACCAAGTCACCGACGACCTGTTCATCGCCCAGCTGGAGGGCCAGCTGACGCACCTGCGTATGGGCGACGAGGAGACGGCAACCGACTACTGCAACCGGGCCAGGCGAATTCTCGCCACCATCAGGATGGCCGGCGCGCAGTACTCGACGGCGTCGTACGTCACCCACGTCATGCAGGGACTTTCGAGCAACTACAACCTCCTGAAGCGGCTGTCAATGGCGCCGGGCACGAGGACGACGCTCAACGAGGACAACTTGACCTCGTACATCCTGCAGGACGAGGCGATGCAGGAGGCAGAGCGATCACATGAGCTCTTGACGCAGGCCAACTTCGTCGCCCCGGCGAAGCAAGGAGGTCGACCAGGGCAGCGCGGATAGTCTGGCGGCGGAGGTAGCAGTGGCTGGAAGTCGACCAAGGAAGTCGACAAGAAGAGGTCGACCAAGGACAGCGGTCGAGGAGGAGGAAGTCGACGTCGGGAGTGCTGGCTGTGCGGCGACCCCGACCACCTCTCCTTCGAGTGCCCCGACCGCAGTGACTCCGACGACGACGACGCCAAGGGAGGCCGCGGGTGGTCTGGAAGTCGTCGTCCTCGTCGAGGAGGGAACAAGCCGCGCAAGGAGATGCAGTCGACCAAGTCGACCTCGGCGAAGGACGCCGACTCCTCTGCTGACGGCAAGGCGCGGGACGACAAGACGGCGTCGTGCTCGCTGGTCGGCGTCGTGGAGTCGACCGTCTCGCTTGCACCGGAGGCCGGAGAGGACTTCCAGGCGGTGGCGGCAGTTGTGCAGGCGAACCCGGCGGTGGTCCTGCTCGACAGCGGCTGCTCCCACCACTTGATGGGGACGAAGGAAGTCTTCGTCGACCTGCAGCCGAGCGGCACCATCAAGCACGTGCGCGGCTTCAATGGGGCACTGCAGGACGTCCAGGGCCGAGGTACCGTCGCCCTGCAAGGGAAGGCCGGGAAGCAGGTACTCATCCCCGACGTGCTGTACGTCCCGGGTGTGCGGGCCAACCTGTTGTCGTCCGGCCAGCTGAAGGAGCACGGTGTGAAGCTGCAGGAGGATGGCGACGGGATGCTGCTCGTCTCGGCGGCGGGAGAGGTGCTCGGACGGGCGACGTACTCCGGGCGTGTCCTCTGTACTGACCTGCGTCCCTGCTCAACGAGGTCGACGTCAACCACGCCGGAGGTTGTGGCCCTACGGGCGATCGTCTCGAAGACGAAGTCGACGCCGGACAGGATGCATGCGAGACTTGCGCACGTCGGCATGGACACCATACGGAGCTCGGCGAAGAACGAGGTCGCCATTGGGCTGGACCTCAAGTCGACAACAAGGGCCGACTCACCGTGTGTCTCGTGCGTCGGCGGGAAGCTGGCGCAGCACACCTTCCCCGACCAAGGCTCCGACGCCGACGACGTGCTGGCCGTCGTGCACATCGACCTGTGCGGGCCGTTCCGCGTGGCTGCCAAGGATGGCAGCTTGTACTTCTTGCTGCTGAAGGACCGCAAGACCCGCTTCGTGTGGGTGAGGCCGGTCGCCAAGAAGTCGGATGCGCTGCTGGAGTTCCATAAGTGGCTGGTGTTGGTGGAGAGGCAGGCGAAGAAGTCGGTGCTAATGCTTCGCTCCGACCGAGGAGGGGAGTTCCTCGGGAAGCAGTTCGCCGACTTCGTGGATGGCAAGGGGATCGTCCACGACCTCACCTGCCCGTACACCCCGCAGCAGAATGGCATGGCGGAGCGGGAGATGAGGACGGTGGTGGAGTCGGTGCGGACGATGTTGCTGCACATGGGCGTGCAGCACCACTGGTGGCACCTCGCTCTGCGGCAGGCCGTCTGGATCCGCAACTGCCTTGAGAGGTTGACGCTGCCGCCGGGGACGACGCCGTACCAGCTGCTGGTCGGCCAGAAGCCCAGCTTGTCGATGGCGAGGGTGTGGGGCTGCATGGCGTAGTTCCTTGTCCCTGAGCAGCAGCGTGGTGGGAAGTTGAAGCCGAAGGCCAGGTGGGGCCTTCACCTTGGCGTGTCGGCGGAGAGCAAGGGCTGGGAGCTCCTCGACATCGACGCCAACCGGGTGGTCACCACGTCGGACGTGGTCTTCTACGAGGAGATGTCGCTGGCCGAGTGGAAGTCGGAGCACGGGTCGGTGTCCGGCCGAACGCCGTCCACCCCGCCAACCGACACCTCGTCGGCGACGCTACCTCTGCTTGCCGAGGTCGGTGGGCTTGCTGCTGAGGACGACGAGGGCGTCCGTCCTCCTTCCCCTCCCTCTTCTGCCCCTCCCCTCGTGGCCGACCTGCACGGGCTGACCTCGGTGTCGGCCTCCGGCGATGAGGGGAGTCGTGGGACGTCGCCTTCGGCGCCGGCCAAGGGCATCGCCGGTGGCCGACGTGTCGAGCGGCAAGTCGACGCGGGAGTGAAGTCGACGTTGACAGGGGAGGAGCAGGTCGAGGAGGAGCAGCCGACTTGGGTGAAGTCGGCGAAGAAGGCAGCTGAGAAGCAGCCGACAGGGGAGCAGGCAGCGGTGAAGCCGACCACGGAGCAGTCGGCAACCAGGCAGTCGGCAGGGACGCCGACCACAGGGGAGAGGTCGACCAGGAAGTCGACCGAGGTGCAGCAGGACGACGAGGGCAGTGAAGACGACGACGAAGGTGGGGACGCTGAGGAGTCCACCAAGAGTGACGAGGTGGAGGTTCGGCCTGAACCTCGGAAGTCGGATAGACTTCGGAGGCCGCCGGACTTCTTCGTCCCCGCTGCCTTCACCACGGTGTACGACGTGGACGATGACGACGACCTGCTGTACGACGACGCCGAGGAGGATGAGGAGTTTCCGGAGCTCGACCCTGACATGCTGGCCGACCCCGAACACCGTTGGGACATCTCGACGATGACGGTGAAGGAGGCGTTGGCGAGCTGGAAGGGCCCGGCGGTGAAGGCCGCCATGGAGGAGGAGATCCACAGCCTCATCAACATGGGCACTTGGGAGCTGGTCGAACACCCGCCGGGAGTCAACATCATGAAGAACCGGTGGGTGTTGACGACGAAGTACCACGTCGACGACACCGTCGAGCGCGAGAAGGCGAGGCTGGTCGTGAAGGGCTTCACGCAGGTGTATGGCGCCGACTACGACGAGACGTTCCCGCCGGTGGGCAGCTACGTCACCCTGAGGATTTTCCTCAGCATCGTCGCCGTCCTCAACCACAACCTGATGCAGCTCGACATGAAGAACGCCTTCTTGCAAAGCAGGCTCGACCGGGTGCTCTACATGTCCCAGCCGGACTACTTCAACGACGGAACCGGCCGGGTCTGCAAGCTGCTGAAGAGCCTGTACGGGCTGAAGCAGTCGCCGCTGCTGTGGTACTTGGCGCTCAACGACGTGCTGGTCGACGCCGGGTGGAAGAAGAGCCAGGTCGACGAGGCGTTGTACTTCAAAGTCGGCATGGACGACGTGGCCTGCTGGGTGCTGGTCTACGTCGACGACCTGCTCGCCGCCAGCAGCAGCACCGAGATGCTGAAGGAGCTGAAGGAGCTGCTGGAGTCCGCCTTCGAGCTGCGTGAGATCTCGCCGGTGCAGAAGTACCTCGGGCTGGAGATCGTCCGCGACAGGTCGGCGGGGAAGCTGTGGCTGCACCAGCAGGGCTACGCCGACAAGCTGCGTAGGCGCTTCATCGACGAGGAGCAGACCGGGCGCACCCCAAAGACGCCAGTCTCGGTCGACGCCTACGCCGAGCTCACCTTCGACGACGAGGAGGCACAGGAGCGACAGGAGGAGGAGTACCGGCAGAAGGTCGGCTCGCTGCAGTTCGCGGCGACGACGACGAGGCCGGACATCGCCTTCGCCTGCAGCAAGCTGGGGAGCGGCCTCACGGTGAGGAGCGACCAGCACTGGCGCGAGGTCGACCGCTGCCTTGCCTACCTTGCCAACACGCGTGACACCGCCCTAGAGTTCGGCGGTGGACCTAAGTCGCTGGAGCTGGTCGGCTACGTGGACGCCGACGACGCCGGTGACAAGCAGAACAGGACGAGCACGGGCGGCTACGTGTTCGTCTACGGAGGGGCCGCAGTCTCCTGGTCGAGCCAACGCATCAAGTGCGCGACGTTGTCGTCGACCGAGTCGGAGTACGTAGCGGCCACCGAAGCCGGCAAGGAGGGACGTCGACTTCGCTTCCTCCTTGCAGAGTTCCAGCAGCTGGATGCTGGGAAGCCGACCGTCCTCCGGGTGGACAACAAGTCGGCCATCACGGTCGCCGAGGGCATGGGGTTGACGGGCAACCTCAAGCACATGGAGCGGCGACAGGCCTGGCTGCAGCACATGGTGAGGCGCGGGAAGTTCTCGTTGAGGTACATCCCGACCACCGAGCAGCCGGCCGACTTCCTGACGAAGGCGCTGCACTATCCGGCCTTCAACCGGTGCTCCGTCGCCATCGGCCAGGTGCGCTTGGCCGACGTGGGCGACGAAGTTGACGACGTGCAGCAGTAGGTGCCATGCCCTTATGCATGGCTGGTGCGGTGGACGACGTGCTGTGTGTTGGGTGCACGTCGACGAGCTATTCTCTGAGGAGGACTGCCGTGTGGGCTGGGGGGCCCAAGCGTGAACGCGGCAGGGGAGTGTCAACGGGAGTTGTGTGTTGGCCCCGTCCTCGCTTGGGCGGAGCCGACTTCGTGGTCGGGTGTGAGGGGAGCAGTCGACCTGCAGCAGTGGGCAAGCTGGTTGACGAGGAGGTCGACCTGCACGGGGGCCACTGCATGGGCGCCGACTTCAGGGTGGCGCCGACTTCAGGGAGGTCGACCTGGGAAGTCGACCTGCGGAGGACGTCAACTTGGTGACGTCAACTTGGGGCAGCCGACTTGGGTGGTCGGCTGACAAGACTGCTGGTCGACCTGGTGGTTGGTCGACCAGGCCTGCTGGTCGACTTGGTGGTGGTCGACCAGGCGGGATGTCGACCTGGTGGTCGACCTGACCTGGTGGTCGACGAAGGAGGGGCCGACGTCGACCTCGACTCAGGACGCCGAGTAGTTGGGCGTCGAGTAGCTGGGCGTCAACTTCGAAACGCCGACTTCGGGTAGCCGACTTGGGTGGTCGGCTGACAACTGCGCTGGTCGATATGGAGCTGGTCGACCAGGAGTGCTGGTCGACGTGGAGCTGGTCGACCAGGAGTGACGTCGACCTGGGGCTGGTCGACCAGGGGTGTGGTCGACCTGGTGAGGTCGACTTGGAGTGGTCGTCGACTTGGGAGGTCGACGGGCACATACGGGAACAGCTGGTCGACCTGGTTGCCCGGTCGACCAGGTTACCTGGGTGACGAGGTTCTGCGGAGGAGTGCGACGGTCGCCCAGGCGAAGTTGGCGAGTCCGACCTCGGTGGTGGTATCCCGAGGTCGACGTGGCAGATCAGGTGGAGTCATCAGCACGAGGATGACATGGTGTGTGCGTTGTGCAGGTGACGAGGCTTAACCCACCAATCATCTGCGAGCACCTGCGAAGTAGGTGCGCTGCTGTTCTGCGGGAGCAACGCTGGCACGCCGTCAACCTGCTGCGTTGGCACGCCGTCGACTTTGCACTGCTGGAGCGCGGTCGACCAAGTCGTGCTGGAACGCGGTCGACCATGCTGCGCTGGCAGTCGACCGACCTGAATGCTAGCTCTGATGTAGTCTTGCCATGCCAACTTCATTGTACCATTGTTGTCAACTATTCTTAGTGAAACTCTTGCCAACTTACCCCGTGAACTAGCAAGCAGTGTGTGCACTAGGAAAACGACTAAGGACCAACGAACGCAGAGATCACACGAGCACCCGTGCCTAGCCCGTAGTCTAGCTCCCGTTGTAGTAGTTATCTCCGCAGGGGTGGCCGGTGGGGGGCCTGATAGCAGTGTCTTCGACAGACTACAGCACGGATCAGGCAGAGGATGTGACCATCACTGCAGGTGGGGAGGGCTGGTGGGGAGGGCTGGTGAGGAGGGTTGGTGAGGAGGGTTGGTGGGGAGGGTTGGTGAGGAGGGTTGGTGAGGAGGGTTGGTGAGGAGGGTTGGTGGGGAGGGTTGGTGAGGAGGGTTGGTGAGGAGGGTTGGTGGGGAGGGTTGGTGAGGAAGGTTGGTGGGGAGGGTTGGTGAGGAGGGCTGGTGAGACGATTTTCAAGTCGTCTCGGAAAGACAGGTGCAGAGGATCTGACCATGACCGCAGGTGCGGAGGGTTGCGGCGGGCATGGGAGTGGAAGAATGGGGAAGCTGAGAGGGTATGGGAGAGCGCGTGCGTGTATTTTGTGTGTGTGTGTGTGTGCGTATGTGTGTGTGTGTGTGTGCGCGCGTATTTTGTATGTGTGTGTGTGTGTGTGTGTGTGTGTCTCATGCAGCCTTCCCTTTTTCCCACTGCCGCTCTCAGCTTCACTCTCGCCCCTCCGCTCTCGTCTCTGCCCTTCTCCTCCACGACCTAGACCTTCCAGGCCTCCACACCATCTCACCACCATCATACCATATCCCACCCCTTCTTCCCCTCCCGATCCTCCCTTCTCCCCCCATTCTCCCATCAGTAACCACCTTCCCCAACGGCACCTCGCTGCTCACTCTCTCCCGCGAGCTCGCCTACTCGCACTTCGGCGATCCCCTGGGCGTGCCCGACGGGTTCTGAGACGTCTCAAAACCTTCTCCCCTTCCCCCTCATTCTCCCCCTCTTCCCCCCCCTTCCTCCCCCATCAGTAACCACCTTCCCCAACGGCACCTCGCTGCTCACTCTCTCCCGCGCCCTCACCTACTCCCACTTCGGCGACCCCCTGGGCGTGCCCGACGGGTTCGGGGGCTACATAAACGAGCGCGCGGAGGTGGCATTACTATCACGCACTGTTACAATCACATCTATTCCAGAAAGCAGCCCTTATGATCGCGAGGGCGGCCATGTGTCGGTGTATTTCACCCAGAGGGCGCAGGCGGTGGAGGGGGTGGAGTTTAGTGGATTGGGGCAGGAGGGGCTGGAGGGGCGGTTTCCTCTGCATTATATGTTCCATGGGAATCAGGGGCAGACAGCGGGTGCGGAAGCGAGTGTTTGCCGGAAGAACTCGTTTCACCACACGAATAATGTGAGTGGCGTGGCGTGGTGGTGGTGATGTGAAGTAATGTGATGAGATGTATGTGATGGGGGGGAGGGGGGGGGGGTTTGGGAGCTGGTTGGATTGCGGTTGGGTCACGTGTGTGATTGTCACGATGCCACTTGTGGAAGTATTCTCCTCTCTCTCTGCCATTCGCCTTACCGTCGTTCGTCATTCCCACCCCCCCCCCACCTCTCCCCGCGTCCCCTGGCTCCTTCAGTCACGCCCCCGCTCCCTGCCCGTCCCTCCCACTCCTTTTTCCCCCAAACTTCTTCGTCTCTCCCATCCCATCTGCCCACCCACCGCTCTCTGGTTCCCACACACGGATCGAGTTCAGTTCAGCAATCCTCACGCATAGGTTTCCAACCTGCAACGATCCACCGTCTCATCTCCTTGGCCCACCTTCTCCCTCATCCGCTTCCTCTCCCTCCTTCCACTCCACATCCCTCTCTCTCGCCCATCCCTCCCTCCCCTCCTTACCACTCTAACCCATCTCCCCCTCCCTCCTTCCCATCTGCACTACCTTCCTTCTCCCTCCCCAACTCCCCCCATCCCCCGAACACAGCGCTGCCTGGTGCTGACAGCAGCGAGCGGCATGACAGTAGAGAGCAACGTGGCGTACGACACGCGCGGGCACTGCTTCATGCTCTCCCGCCAACAACCTCCCCCCCCTCCGCCCCCCTGCACTCCGCCCCCCTGCACTCCCTCCATCTCCCCCGCCCCCCCCATCCCCACTCCTGCAGCGCTGCCTGGTGCTGACAGCAGCGAGCGGCATGGCAGTAGAGAGCAACGTGGCGTACGACACGCGCGGGCACTGCTTCATGCTGTCCTCGGGTAGCGAGACGCGCAACACCCTCGCCAACAACCTCGGCTTCCTCACCCGCCGCGGTGCGCCCAGGGGGGTGCATGGGGGGGGTGCACGGGGGGGGTGCACGGGGGGGTGGGGGGGTTGCATGGGCGGGGTGCACGGGGGTGCACGGGGGGGTGGGGGGGTTGCATGGGGGTTGCATGGGGGGTGCATGGGGGGAGCATGGGGGGGCATGGGGGGCGGATGGGTGGTGGATGGGTAGCGAATGCATTAGGGGATCAGTTGCGGCATTGATTTCTGACGTGGGAGGTGGAACCAGAGTATATATATGTTCCCCGTCCCCTCGCTCGCCGCCCCCACTTCTCCAAAACCCTCTTCAACCCCCCCCAATCAATCAACCGCCTTTCCCTACATATCACCCGCCTCTCCCAACCCCTCCTTCCTTCATCCCCGCCCCCTCCTTCCCCCCCACCCTCCAGCCGGTAAGGACACGTCAGGCAAGAGGGACTCGAGCAACCCCTCCCTTCATCACCCCTATCTCACGCCATTTAACCATCCCCCACCCCCCCTCATCCGCGCCTCATCCGTCCCCTCCCCTCCCACACCTTCAGCCGGCAGGGATGTGTCGGGCATGCGGGACACGAGCAACCCCGCCTGCATCTCATCATTCAATCATCCCCAACCCTGCTTCATCCCCAACCCTGCATCATCCCCAACCCGGCTTCATCCCCAACCCTGCTTCATCCCCAACCCTGCTTCATCCCCAACCCTGCTTCATCCCCAACCCTGCTTCATCCCCAACCCTGCTTCATCCCCAACCCTGCTTCATCCCCAACCCTGCTTCATCCCCAACCCTGCTTCATCCACAACCCCTTCTTGATCTCCCCCACACCTTCAGCCGGCAGGGACGTGTCGGGCATGCGGGACACGAGCAACCCCGACCCCTCCCTTGCATCACCCCCCACTCACACACCACTCAACTCAACCATCCTCACCCATCCTTCATCTACCCCCCACACCAGCCGGCAGGGATGTGTCGGGCATGCGGGACACGAGCAACCCCGCTCCCTCCCTTGCATCACCCCCCACTCACACACCACTCAACTCAACCATCCTCACCCATCCTTCATCTCCCCCACACCTTCAGCCGGCAGGGACGTGTCGGGCATGCGGGACACGAGCAACCCCGCTCCCTCCCTTGCATCACCCCCCACTCACACACCACTCAACTCAACCATCCTCACCCATCCTTCATCTACCCCCCACACCAGCCGGCAGGGATGTGTCGGGCATGCGGGACACGAGCAACCCCGCTCCCTCCCTTGCATCACCCCCCACTCACACACCACTCAACTCAACCATCCTCACCCATCCTTCATCTACCCCCCACACCAGCCAGCAGGGATGTGTCGGGCATGCGGGACACGAGCAACCCCGCCACGTTTCTGCTCGCCAACCCGGACAACGACTTTATCAACAACACCGCTGCCGGCTCCCTCGCTGCTGGGTGAGAGCTGCGCGTTGCTGGGCTGCACGGTCACTCAACTGGGACGTGGTGGGACGTGGTGGGATGGTGGGGCGTGGTGGGAAATGAACATGTCAGAGTTCCATGAAACGGGGACACGGTCACTGGGTTCTGCTTGACCAGTGAAGTGAGTGACTTGTTGGGTGGAAGGGGCGCTGGATTGGGATTGGGATATGCTGGGGAGCGGAAGGAAGAGAGGGCGGTGGTAGCCATTTGAGGCGTCACGGGCCGGATGTGCTGGGGGAGTGCGAGAGGCGGGAGGGACCATGTGAAGTTTTTTAAGGCGCCTCAAAAGAAATGCAGCGCGAGCGAGAGAGTGCAGTGAAGGAGCACGGTCAGAGCTTCAAAACCTTTCCCTCTCTCTCCCCATCACCCTCCACCCCCTCATATCCCCCACCACCCTCTCCACCCCTCTTTCCACCGCCTTCCACCCCTTCTCCCTCACCTCCCCCTCGTCACCCGCTTCCCTCCCTCCATCCCCTTTCCCCCCCAATCCCCTTCCCCCTTCAAGTCACTCTGCCTGCACTGGTTTACGTTTTGTTAGATTGACAACATCTCTCTCTTCCCAGCATTGCTTCCATTGCCTGTTCTCGCAAGCACACCAGCCACCACATCACCAAGTTCCTCCTTCACCCGTAACCCGTAACGGCCCAACCTTCCTCTCGCATGGAACATCATTCTCCCATGCACCAGCACTCTGTCACAACCATGACCATTCCACTGCCACACCCCCTATGACCATCCACATCCCCATGCCCGCGCCCGCTACCACGAGCAGTACAGCGTGCAGTGGCTCAAGCCCATTCAGCGAGTGCTCTTCTCCCGCCTCACCTTCTACAAGCACCAAGGCAGCGCGTAAGCCCTCCACTATCTCGCTTCTCGCCTCGCCTCTCCTTTCTCTCCTATGATCTCCCTCTCCCAAGAATCCCCCTCTCAAAGCTTTTCCGTTCACCCTCAGCGGCCTTTTTTTGGGACCATTGGTCGCCTGGGATTTTCCACATATCCCCTCCCTCCCTCTCCGCCTTTCCCTCCTCTCTCGCCACCTCACAACTTGGTGTTCTTCTTCCGTCCCATGCGGCCCTCCCCCCCTTCCCCAACCCCCTCCTTCAGCACGCTCCTGGGCACGCTTTGACACGTTCACGACGTGGGCGCTTCTCTCGTGTCGTCTCAAAATTTCTCCTACTCCCCAACCCCCCCTTCCCCCCCCCCCCCCCCCCCAGCACGCTCATGGACACGTTTGACGCGTTCACATTAAATGCCGCCTTTTGAGCCCGCCTCAAAACCCCTACCTGCCCTCGTCTTTTCTCCCTCCCTCCACCCAGCACGCTGATGGACACGTTCGACGCGTTCGCAATGCAGGACTCTGTGTCCATTACTTTCATGCACGCCAAATGCTGCCTTTTGAGCCACCTCAAAACTCCTTTCCCTTTTCCTCCTCTCTCCTCCCCACTCCCTTCACGCCTTCCTCCCCCCTCTCCCCACAGCACGCTGATGGACACGTTTGATGCGTTCACGATGCAGGACTCGGTCTTTGCAGACAACCAGTGGTTGCTGTACCTCGCAGAGACGCAGCACGCCATCGTGGACGGGTGCCGCTTTGTGGGGCTCTCCAACAACTACGGCACGCCGCAGGGGTGCACCAACGCACAGCCCTGGGACTGCGCGCCCATCACCGGCTGCAAGTGAGTGCCTGCCTAAGGCTGAGGGTTCTCTCACATCAAAGGGCTGTGCATGCACACCACCACTCACGGGGTTCTGCTCTGCTGGGAGAAGTTGCGAAAGGCCTCTTGCCGCTTCGTGGGGCTGTCCAACAACTACGGCACGCCGCAAGGGTGCACCAACGCCCAGCTCTGGGACTGCGCGCCCATCACCGGCTGCAAGTGAGTTGCCGCTGCTAGGTGATGCTGGACCGTCCAAATTTGTGTGTGTGTGTGTGTGTGTGTGTGTTTTTTTTGTTTTTTGCAACGTCTCAAGCTCTAGCAACAGGGCAAGCAGGTCAAGGGGGCAGCCATTTCTTCGTCCCTTTCGCTGGGATCACATCCCAATCCCAAATCCCTTTGAGGCACAGCCATTTCTTGCTTGCCCTTCCCTCCTGTTCCACCTACCCCTCACTCTCCCCTCCCGCCTCCACCCACCTCCTTACCACCCTCACCCCACCATGCTACCGCTGACGAGCGACCAGCAGACAGGTCGACAGGTGGCAACCGCTTCCCCTTCCCTATCTTCGTAGCTAGAGACATCTCTTCCTTCCACTTCTTCTCCCTACCTCTTGCTCCTGTTATAACCACCCCTCCTCTACCCCTCCCCCTCCCATTCCTCCCCCATCACTCGCCCCCCTCGCTCCCCCAGGCTACCGTTGACGAGCGACCAGCTCGGCAGGTCCACCGGTGGCAACCGCTTTCCGTTCCCACTGTTTGGGATCGTGTACGACCAGCGCAACTTCACAGAGCTTGGGGACACTGCTGCTCTCGTCGCCAACACCACGTGAGCTGCTGCTGCTGCTGCCGCCGCCCCCGCCGCTGCTTCTGCTTGCGCGCTTGCTTAACTGCCTGGGTTGGTTGCTCTTGTGTGTTCGTTGAGAACCGGTCGGTAGATTGTCGATGAAGCTGGTACTGCCTTGTACTCCCTTGTACCACATGTGACACTGTTCACCATTCCCTCTGCCCATTCCCTCTGCCCATCCCCTCTGCCCGTTCCCTCTGCCCATCCCCTCTGCCCATTCCCTCTGCCCATCCCCTCTGCCCTTTCCCTCCCCCCCTCACGCGCCCCGTCCAGCTTCTTCAACTACGATGCCACGTGTCGCCCCGCTGCTGGGTTCTGAGTCAACTCAAAAGTCATTCCCTCTCCCCCCCCCCTCACGCGCCCCGTCCAGCTTCTTCAACTACGATGCCACGTGTCGCCCCGCTGCTGGGTTCTGAGTCAACTCAAAAGTCATTCCCTCTCCCCCCCCCCTCACGCGCCCCGTCCAGCTTCTTCAACTACGATGCCACGTGTCACCCCGCTGCTGGGTTCTGAGTCAACTCAAAAGTCATTCCCTCTCCCCCCCCCCTCACGCGCCCCGTCCAGCTTCTTCAACTACGATGCCACGTGCCGCCCCGCTGCAGGGTTCGCACTGGGCCTCTCGCCCACCTACAAGGACTACTGGAACGCCGGCCAGGCTGTCAGGGTGAGCGTGCTGAGGGGCATGATTCAGGCATGTGTTTAGGGAGAGAGAGAGACAAGGGCTTCCAAGGAGAGTGTCATACAAAAGAGAAAAAAGGGCTTCCAAGGCATGCCGTCTTAAGGGAAGAAAATGGCAGTGAGAATCTTGTCTAGGCTCTCTACACTCTCCTCTCCTGCTTCCTTTCTCTTATCTCCTCATCCCTCCTTTCCCTTTTCCCTCTCCTCCTCCCCCCTCTCCTCGCCCCTCTCTCCTTCAGTCCTTTTCCCTGCTCCTCACACGTGTCCTCTGTCCCTCGTCACACCCTTGTGTTGTGTGCATGCACCACCAACCATCAGAACGTGAGCTTCAAGGCTACCAACCGCATGTGGATACCTGGAGACACCTTCCCCTTCCTTGTCAGTACTCCACTCCACTGTTCTTTCAACGCCCCCTCCTCTCACCCATCCGCCCGTCCGTCCTTTGATGCTGCATTGGCCTTGCCCACAATACAGGGGCATATTGTTTCCCATGCACCATGCATGCACCATGCATATTGTTTCCCATGCACCATGCATGCACCATGCATGCACCATGCATGCACCATGCATGCACCATGCATGCACCATGCATGCACCATGCATGCACCATGCATGCACCATGCATGCACCATGCATGCACCATGCATGCACCATGCCTCCAGGAGCACCTCCCACCACATGCGTTGCACCTCCCTATCACGAGGCACGTTGAAAGCACCTGACATCTGTGCGATATCCTGGGTACCTATTTTCCCGTTGCTTTCTCTTACCACCAGCCTTTCCCAGAGCAGCAACCTCTAGCCCAACAGACTCTACCACCACTGTTTATTGCCAGCCGTCCGTACCTCCTCATCTCCCCTCTCGCCCCACACCCTCCCCCTCCCTCTCCCCACTCCCGCCCCTCTCCTCTCCCCTCACTCCCTCCCCAGGGCGGGTCCACCATAGCAACGGGACGAGCGTCCCCCTTCCTCATGATGCAAGACCTAGACGGCTCGCTCACCAACACACAGCTTGTTGAGTCGACTCAAAAATCACACCCTTCCCCCCCTCCTCCCCCCAGGGCGGGTCCACCGTAGCAACGGGAGTAGTCTCCCCGTTCCTCATGATGCGCGACATAGACGGCTCGCTCACCGGCACAGCCCCCGGCTCCGTCAAAGAGGGCGGCTTCGCCATTGCCAATGTGTCCTACCTCTTACCGCCCGCCAAGATCAAGGGAGCGCCCGTGTGCATGCCCATGAAGGCGTGGAACGGGTATTCGTGCCCCAAGGCGTGCTACCGCAGCGTGGCGATTTCGTACTTTGAGCCGGGGTTCTCGCCCATCGATGACTCGCCTGACGCCAGGAAGAGGGGCTCTTTCAGGTGCGCGTGTGGGTGTGTGTGTACGTGTCTGTGTGTGTGTGAGTGTGTGTGTGGGTGTGTGGGTGTGTGTGTGCGTGTGTGTGCGTGTGTGTGTGTGTGTGTGTGTGTGTGTGTGTGAGTGAGTGAGTGAGTGAATGGACGGCTGCATGTCTCTCTCTGTGTGTTTCCGTTTCCAATAGATCGTCATTGGCATCATTAGGCAAACATCATGTGTATGCCGTGTTTCTCGCCTCGCCTGGTACGAACATTGCCCTGCCCTGCACTTTAGGACCACTCACCACTCCACCGATCATGTCCGTGATTCTACCCTTGCACTCTTTCTCTCCCTTCCTCTCCTCCTCCCCTTTCCTCTCTTTCTCCCCCTACCTCTTTTCTCCCGTGCCCTATCTTTCTGCACCAACCTCTCTTCCTCCCGCTCCCTCTCCCCCCCCTTCCTCTCCCTCTCCCTCCCCCCCCTCTCCTGCTCACTTCCCTTGTTCCGTCCCTCTCCCGTTTCGCTTCCCTTCCCTTCCCTTGTCCCTGTCCTTGCAGCTACCTGGAGATCGTGCGGGTGGAGGACAAGGCATCGTTCGCCCTGGACGGCAATCTGAACGTGCGCTACATGAACGTGCACGACACCACGCTCCGATACTTCTACCCCAACCTCCTCGCAGGTGCACATGTCTCATCACCATGCCCCATGCCCATGCCCCATGCCCATGCCCATGCATGCCCCATGCCCCATGCGCATGCCCCATGCCCCATGGCCATGCACACCCAATTTACCCCCCCCCCCCCATTCTTACTGTCCACCAACATTCAGCCATCGCTCTCCCTCCATTCATTTGTCTCACTGAGCTGCTCTCCTCCATCTCTTCCCCCCACCGCATTCCCACTCACCCTAAACCCCCATCTACCTTGTCCTCCCACACCGCTCTCAACTCCTCCCACCACCTCATCGAGCCTTGCGTCTCCACCTCCTTCCCTCTCCTCCGTCCTCCCTCCCTCCCACCTTGCCCACCCCAACGCCCAACCCTCCTTCCACCCCCCCTCCTTCTTCCCGGGCATGGCGTACAAGATCACGGTCCGCCTCCCCACTGGTTCCTCTGCCACTCCTTCCTGCATCACCGCTGCGTGCCAGGACGGCTCCTGAGACGCCTGAAAGCTCACACCCTCCGCCACCTCCCCCCTCCCCCCTCCCTCCTCCCCCCCTCCCCCCACGTTTCTCCTTCCCCCACCGGCTCGGCCTGAGCTCCATTATGAGGCGCCTAATACCCCATCTTCCCCCCCCCTCCCCCCCACTTCCCTCCCCTCCGCTCCCCTCCCTCCCCTTTTCCAGGCATGACGTACGAGATCACGATCCGGTCCCTCATGGGCTCCACGTGGGTGCCGTCCTACATCACCACACCATCCCAGGACACGGCTTCTGAGGTGCCTGAACTGAAAGCTCATCCCCGCCCCGCCCCTTCACGCCAAACCCCGCTTCCCCTTCCCAGGAATGACGTACGAGATCACCATCCGCTCCCCCACAGGCTCCACGTGGGTGCCGTCCTACATCACCGCAGCGTTCCAGGACATGGCTTCTGAGGCGCCCAAAAGCCCAACCCCCCACCCTTACTCCTCCCCCCCCTCTCTCCCCCACCCCCAAACCCCCTTTCCCCACTCCCCAGGAATGACGTACGAGATCACCATCCGCTCCCCCTCGGGCTCCACCTGGGTGCCGTCCTACATCTCTGCAGCCTTCCAGGACGGGGGCAGCTGCGCCCAGGGACTCACCCTGCGCGTGCTGCCGCTGGGCCATGCGGGCACGGGGGTGGCGCGACAGCTGCTCGTGGGCAAGGAGTCCAGCTCTGTGGGCGCGCTGTGAGTGTTTGTGCGGGGGAGAGAGGATTAATTATGATGGGGAGGTATTCTGTGGTGGGGGTCTGGTGTGTTGGTCCGGAGGTACGGGGGTGGTGCGGCAGCTGGCAGCTGCTGGTGGGCAAGGAGTCCAGCTCTGTGGGCGCCCTCTTAGTGCACAGGGGAGTGCTGTGGGGCAGGAGGTAGGGTTGGTGGAGGCTCAAGGGTGTCTATGTGTAATTGATTTGGTGGATGCGTGTGCATGCTTGAGCATGTGTGTGCATGTCTGTAAGTGCATGTGTGCGTGTGCGTGTGCGTGTGCACTAATGAATACATGTTCGTCCATGTCATCTCCATCCCCCCAACAGGCCCATACCAGGCAACCCTATCCCGGGCAACAGAGCGCTCTATAGCTTTGCCTGTGCAACCACTGCACCGGTGCCTGCGCTCACCCTCACCATGGGTGGAAACTTTTCCGATATCGCCTACCTGATCCCCATCGGTGACACGGCTGCTGCTTCCTCGTGCACGTCCACGTTCATGTGAGACGCTTCTTCAGTCCACCCAACAGTGCACAGCACAGCACAATGCACATGCCCCTTCATGTGACAGCCCTGCATCGGAGATTCCTGTCCAAGTTCCTGCACTATTTACCATGTCACACACTCATACACAACATCAAGCACACTTAATATGGCATCATATGCCATGCCCTGCCATACCTTTATTCTATCCCATGATCCCATCCCATCCCATCCCATCCCATCCCATCCCATCCCATCCCATCCCATCCCATCCCACCATTACCCTTACCCCTAAACCCCGCAACGCCCCAACTATTCCAATCCACCCCCGGCAGGTCATCCCAGCAGCGCAACATCCTATTCGCGGGCAGCGAGTGGCTGTACGACGACTCGGGGCTGGACTACTTCCCACCCTACTCCGGCCATGCCATACATTTCTTCCATCCCATGCCCATCCCATTCCAACCAATGCCATTCCATTCCACCACTACCCGTTAACCTCAAACCTTGCAATCCCAATCATTCCCACCTCAACCCCACCAGGACATCTCAGCAGCGCAGCATCCTGTTCGCGGGCAGTGAGTGGCTGTTTGACGACTCAGGGCTGGACTACTTCCCGCCCTACTCCGGTGCACGCACCTTCTTCTCACCCACGCCGCTGCTCACCCCGCCCACCACCGGCCCCAAGAAGGTCCCTTCCGTGCCTCGCTCCATCGACCCCCCCGGCACGTGGCGCAGCGGCAAGGGCCCTCTGGGCTGGTATGCCAACTGTACGTGTGCCTAGCACCTCTACTGGGGCGTTCTGTATGGGATATGTGGTGTGCACTGTACACATGCAGGCTCAAATCATGAGTGTGATGACCCAGATATGCATTCCTGGTGGTGTGGTATTCTTGTCTTGTGTGCTGGTATGGTACTTTGTTGATGTCTGAAATGACTTCCTAGTCGGCTCAGAACTCACTTGCACTTCACTAAGTCTCCCAATTGGTGGCTTCGTTGTGCCAATGCCGCGTGCTGCTGGTCAAATTTCCACCTCCCCTCATCACATCAGCTTGTTCAAATCAACAGCCGTCCCTCCCACTCCCTCCCACTCCCTCCCACTCCCTCCCACTCCTTCCCAATCTCTTCCTCTCCCTCCCACTCCTTCCCACTCTCTTCCTCTCCCTCCCACTCCCTCCCACTCTCTTAATCTCCCTCCCATGCCCGCCCCTTCCCTTCCTCGCCCACCCCCAGGGGACAATCCGTCCATAGCAACAGTGCTCGCCCCGGTCTCACCCTCTCGCGTGGTCTACTATTTCCGCACCAACTTCACCGTCACCAGCACCAAGTGCTACACCGCTCTCCGCCTCGACCTGCTTGTCAGCGATGGGGCAGTTGTGTACATCAACGGCGTTGAGGCTTTCCGCACCAACCTGCCTGATGGGGCGCTCACTAACACCTCCCTTGTGCGTGTTCCCTTTGCTCTATGGCCCTAACACCCACCTGTGTTGGTGTGTGTGCGGCGCGGGGTGCGGGACTAGAAAGTGTTGTGGCGTGTGTAAGGAAGCTGAATCGTGTGATGGGGGATGATTATGGTGGGACCAACGGGTGGCACCTACGTGCGTGCATGCGATGCGAATGGTTGCAGTGGTGGTGGGGTTGACTGGCTTGCTGATCTGCGATGGTGGTTATGTGTGTGCACCACTATCGCTTGTCGTATTCGACCCATGTACCTACATTCAGCCTTCGTTTGCACTCCCATTTCTCCCATCCCTCCTCACTCTATCCGCACTATGTTATCCACCTTCCTCCCTCCCTCCCTCCCTCCCTCCCTCCCTCCCTCCCTCCCTCCCTCCCTCCCTCCCTCCCTCCCTCCCTCCCTCCCTCCCTCCCTCCCTCCCTCCTTCCCTCCCTCCCTCCCTCCCTCCCTCCCTCCCTCCCTCCCTCCCTCCCTCCCTCCCTCCCTCCCTCCCTCCCTCCCTCCCTCCCTCCCTCCACCCTTCCCGCCCGCCCACCAGGCGCTATCAAACCTTGAACCTCTCACCAAGGTACCGATACCGTACACGACCTTCACAGTGCCGCTCGTCAGGGCGCCCGGGGCAGCAGCGGCAGCGGGGGCAGTGAGCCTGGTGGAGGGGGTCAACTTCGTGGCGGTGCAGGTGCACGCGTTCCAGAACTACGCGTGGGAGGTGGCCTTTGACATGCGCGTCTCCGCTCAGCTGCCGTACGTGCCCTCTCTCACCCCCACGCACTCGCACCCAACCAACCAACCACCCGCGTACACCACACGCACACACGCACGCTCGGACGCACCAAGGCACACACGCACCCGCGCACTCATGCACCCACGCAAGCACCGACACTCGCATGCGCCTGCGCACGCACACGCGCACACACATCTCTCATCTTCCCCCTCTCTCACTTCCTCTCTCACACCCTCTGTCTTCATTACTTGATCTCTGTCCCCAATTGTTCTCCTCCTGCCATGCTCCCTGTGCTGAGCTGTGCCTCTGTCCAAATTCGGAATTGCTGCTTCCTCAGGCGCCTTGGAGCGTTGGCTGCGTGTTGCTGTTGTTTGAAGTCGTGCTTTCTTCCATCGTGCTCATCTGCTCGTTGCCATGCTCCCCGCTGCGGTGTGCATGCATGTGCCTCTTCTTGCTGTGCTGTGGCTGATGTGGGGGGTGGGGTTTTCATTTCTGTGCCTGTATGTGTGTGTGTCTGGTGTGACCACACGTGTGTGCCTGTATGTATGCATCTGCACATGTGTGCGTGCGTGTGTGCGCATATGTGTGTGCGTGTGTGTGCGTATGTGTGTACGTGTGTGTGCGTATGTGTGTACGTGTGTGTGCATATGTGTGTGTGCGAATGCATGCAGTGACCCTAAGTGCAAAGGCAAGGCAACACGGCCAGAAGTATGCGATGGGCTTGACAACGATGGCGATGGTGAGTAGGAGAAAAAAGGATGTTTCATCATGCCACTCATGTACTGGAATAGTGATGCTCCTTACGCATATCTACCATCCTACACGAATGAAGGACACATCAGCTGCAACACATGCTTGCCTTCTTGCCACGCCACCTCCATTTATACCCATGCATGCAGCATCAACGCGCCACCCTTCTCCCTCAACCTCCTTACTCCTCTGCCCCTCCCTTCTGCCCTCCTGTTTCTTCCACACCCCACCCTTGTCCATTCCGTTACCCATCATTGCACTCTACCTCCTCCCCTCGTTCTGCACCCCCTTATCCCTTCCCGCCGTGCTCTCTGCTCACTTATCATACTCACTGTGCCTCTCTCCCTACCCGTTCTCCCTCCTCCCCCACTCCCTCCTGCCCCCCGTCCTCCCCCCCACCCTGCACCAACCACCAGGCAAGGTGGACATAGGGCCCACCAAGAAGCCCATCACAGTGCCGTGCGCCAGCGCCTGTGGTGTCGGCACCATGACCTGTGTTGACGGCGCGCTCTCTCCTTGCTCTGCTAAACAACCCGCCGTCGAGAGGTGCGTGCTTGTATGCATGCGTGCGTGCGTGCATCGGTGCATGGGTGCGTGCGTGGGTGCGTGCATGTGTCTCCTGTCACAACCCTGTAGAGTACATGGAATGCTGTGGTGCATGCATCCCTCCTCCCCTTTCCCACTTCCTTTCTGCACATTCCGCTCCACCTACCCATGAACCCACCCACCACCCATTCTCGTCTGCTCCTCCCTCCCCACCTCCTGCCCTCCCCCTCTCCCCCCCTTCCCCCTCGCCCCCTTCAGCTGCAATGGGCTGGACGACGACTGTGACAGGCTGGTGGACAACCGCGTGGGGTCTTCGCCACCTCTCCCATTCCTTTTCCTTCCCCACCCATTTACCCACCCACTTACCCAGCCACCACCCACTCCCGTACGCCCCTTCCCTCTGGTTTCTCCCCCTCAGCTGCAACGGACTGGACGACGACTGTGACGGGCTGGTGGACAACCGCGTGGGGTCCTCTCCATGCCCTCTTATTCCTCCCCCCACGCACCTACCCTCCCGTTTCCTCCGTTCCCCTTCAGCTGCAACGGCCTGGACGACGACTGTGACGGGCTAGTGGACAACCGCGTGGGGTCCTCTGCATGCCCCGAGGGAGCGGCGTGCTTCAACGGATCGTGCCGGGCCGTGGTGTCCCACGTGGGGTCGTCTGTGCTGGTCAAGGGCAGCGAGGCCGACTGGCTGTTTGCCGACGGGGGCACCAACGTGGCTTTGCTGTACCCATCGTGGAAGATCAAGTGAGTGGGAAGGAGGAGGAGAGAGGGAGAGAGGGGGGGAAGGGGGTTGGGTGAGGATCATGTGATAGTTGGGTGATGTGTGAAGGTGTTCACATACATGCGTCCCTCTCATCTCATCCCCTCCCTCTCCACCCCTCGCTCCCGTCCCCTCCCTCTCACCCCCTCCCTCCCAACCCCCTCTCATCCCCTCCCTCCCTACCCCCTCCCTCTCGTCCCCTCCCTCTCATCCCCTCCCTCCCCACCCCCCCCCCTCTTGTCCCCTCACTCTCATCGCCTCCCCATGGCCCCCTCCCACAATCCATCCTCGTGTCGTGTGTGTGCTGCCTGGCAAGCAGCTCGGGCATCCCAGCAGGGGTGATGAAGGCAGGCAAGGCGCCCTTTGGCGTCAACGCCTACAGCGCGGAGGCTGCAGCGGGGTTTGCAACGACGCTAGCCAACAGCGCGGGCAGCTTCTGGACCTTCTACTTCCTTAAGGCCTTCAACCTCACTGCCGAGCAGGCCGCTAGTACCTACAGCTACGGTGAGCAGCGCATTCTTTCAGCAGCGACTTTTGAGGCGCCTCAAAAGCCAAGCAGGCCGCCAGCACCTACAGCTACGGTGAGCAGCACACGTTCTGAGCAGCACACGTTCTGAGCAGCACACGTTCTGAGCAGCACACCATCCGAGGAGCACTGGTGAGCGCGGGTATAAGAAGAGAGCCATGGCAAAGGCGGTTATTGTGTGTGCATGTGAAGTACAACTGTGGTGGGCCTTGTCTCATCTCATTCCTGACTCTGTTGATTGATCCACTGTGAGTTGGGCCTTGTTTCGTACCCATATCGCTTACTCGGGTTTGCTTGCGTTTCCAGCTTGTTGAGTTGGAGAACGGACCAACCCTGTGTGGAGAAAGTGTTGGCATATCGCCGTGCCTAACATCCACGGTTAGGTCGGATTGAACTGACTGACTTTGATTTGAGGGCATGAGGAGGAGCACGTACTGGAGGTGTGTTAAGGGCAAGTGTACAACCACAACTGTGACAGCGACAGTCGACTGTGACAGCTGGACTGTGACAACTGGACTGGAGTTCTCTGCATATGCTCTTTTATGCCGTTACCATACGTGCTTCCATCACCCTCTCATCCTCATCCATCCCACCTTCCACCCTCTCCCCACCACCCTCTCCTCTTCCCCAATCCCCCCTCACCTCGCCCCTCCCGCCTCCCGCCCCGCCCTCCCCCTTTCCGCCTTTCCCCTCTCTCGCCCCTTCCTCCTGTCAGACGTGAGTGTGCGGAGGGATGACGGGGCGGTGGTGTATCTGAACGGCAACGAGATGTTCCGCACCAACATGCCCGGGTCAGGGCCCATCACCCACACCACAGCGGCCGCGGGAGTCACGCAGACAGACCCAAGCAACGGCAACAACAAGGACTCGTACTACTCGTGTGGGGAGGCGTGCTACGGGAGGAACATGTCCGCTTGGAGCAAGGTGGGTTCAATGCTGCTGCTGCTGGGTGGACTAGTTGGTGGGTTGATGATCTGGTTGGTGGGTTGATGATCTGGTTGGTGGGTTGATGATCTGGTTGGTGGGTTGATGATCTGGTTGGTGGGTTGATGATGTGGGTGGTGGGTTGATGATGTGGGTGGTGGGTTGATGATGTGGTTGGTGGGTTGATGATCTGGTTGGTGGGTTGATGATGTGGGTGGTGGGTTGATGATGTGGTTGGTGGGTTGATGATCTGGTTGGTGGGTTGATGTGGTTGGTGGGTTGATGATCTGGTTGGTGGGTTGATGATGTGGGTGGTGGGTTGATGATGTGGGTGGTGGGTTGATGATGTGGTTGGTGGGTTGATGATCTGGTTGGTGGGTTGATGATCTGGTTGGTGGGTTGATGATCTGGTTGGTGGGTTGATGATGTGGGTGGTGGGTTGATGATGTGGGTGGTGGGTTGATGATGTGGTTGGTGGGTTGATGATCTGGTTGGTGGGTTGATGATGTGGGTGGTGGGTTTATGATGTGGTTGGTGGGTTGATGATCTGGTTGGTGGGTTGATGATGTGGTTGGTGGGTTGATGATCTGGTTGGTGGGTTGATGATGTGGTTGGTGGGTTGATGATCTGGTTGGTGGGTTGATGATCTGGTTGGTGGGTTGATGATGTGGGTGGTGGGTTGATGATGTGGGTGGTGGGTTGATGATGTGGTTGGTGAGTTGATGATCTGGTTGGTGGGTTGATGATCTGGTTGGTGGGTTGATGATGTGGTTGGTGGGTTGATGATCTGGTTGGTGGGTTGATGATGTGGTTGGTGGGTTGATGATCTGGTTGGTGGGTTGATGATCTGGTTGGTGGGTTGATGATGTGGGTGGTGGGTTGATGATGTGGTTGGTGGGTTGATGATCTGGTTGGTGGGTTGATGATCTGGTTGGTGGGTTGATGATGTGGGTGGTGGGTTGATGATCTGGTTGGTGGGTTGATGATGTGGGTGGTGGGTTGATGATGTGGGTGGTGGGTTGATAATGTGGTTGGTGGGTTGATGATCTGGTTGGTGGGTTGATGATGTGGTTGGTGGGTTGATGATCTGGTTGGTGGGTTGATGATCTGGTTGGTGGGTTGATGATCTGGTTGGTGGGTTGATGATCTGGTTGGTGGGTTGATGATGTGGGTGGTGGGTTGATGATGTGGGTGGTGGGTTGATGATGTGGTTGGTGGGTTGATGATCTGGTTGGTGGGTTGATGATGTGGGTGGTGGGTTGATGATGTGGTTGGTGGGTTGATGATCTGGTTGGTGGGTTGATGATCTGGTTGGTGGGTTGATGATCTGGTTGGTGGGTTGATGATCTGGTTGGTGGGTTGATGATCTGGTTGGTGGGTTGATGATGTGGTTGGTGGGTTGATGATCTGGTTGGTGGGTTGATGATCTGGTTGGTGGGTTGATGATGTGGTTGGTGGGTTGATGATCTGGTTGGTGGGTTGATGATCTGGTTGGTGGGTTGGTGGGCTGTGTGATCCTGGAGAGATGTTGCAAATGTTTGTGTGGAAAGTAGCTAGGCGTGGTTGGGCAACTCATGATTGCAACAACGGTCACGCCTCTCGGTGTCTTCTCAGCTCTCACCCTCCCTTGAATGCGTCCCTTCCCATAACCTCACCCACTCACTCATTCCCTTGACAGACGGGGATCAACTGGGTAGCAGCAGAGCTGCATCAAGCGTACCTCTGGTCCGGAGACGCCGCCTTCGACCTCTCGCTCTCTCGCCTCGGGGTCAACGACTGCCCTGCCCCTCCCTCCAATGCCTCCGCGCCTGCTCTCGCCTCGCCGTGCATCCGCTCGACGTACCGCTCGCTGCTCCCAGAGGGGACAGTGTGGCGCTTCAATGACGCGTCTACGACTGCGCCGCCTGCAGGATGGCACCTGCCCGCCTTCAATGATGCCGCATGGCCCTCAGGTACCTGCTCGGCCGCTACCCTGCCCACCTTCTGTGAAGCCCCCCTGCTGTGAAACCTGATATCACTCGAGGAGGTCATCCCATGGGCCTCATGCTCATCTAGCCAGTGTGCTGGCACTTTCGATTTGATTTACCATGTGTTGCTCTGGGGCAGGGGTGAGTGACTGGTGGCATGCAAGGATCCATCAGTGACGCGTTGCCCTGTATCAGCATCAGATTATCCATGAGCCATGACCATGCACGCGTGCACTTATGCATGCATGCTGCGTCCTTGGCCTCTTTCGCCCGCTGCCTCTTGCGCCCTTTCCCTGCTGGCTGGCACTACTACGTCTCAATCAACTTTCCTCTGTATCTCCGCATAACACCTACTCCACCACCTTCCCACTCCACCACCCCCTCCCTTTGCCTCTCTCGACCCCTTCCCCCCTCTGACATTATTCCCTGGTGTCTCCAATTCCCGATGCCTCAATGTGCCCCCCGATCAGGCCCTGGAGTGCTGGGGTCGGGCGGGTGGTGGAATATCAGCAAGTCGCTCACCAAGGCAGCTTCGGGGTCGAACCGCCGAGCCTACTACATGCGTACGGCGTTCACCGTGCCTGACGGGCCGTGCTTCTTCAACCTCACCCTCTGGATCCTCGCCAACGATGGCGCCGTGAGTCTCCTGTCTCTCTTTAAGTCGTCTCAAAAGTTCTCTCTCTAACCTCACCCTCTGGATCCTCGTGAACGACGGTGCCGTGGTTCCCCCTCCCACTCCCTCCCTCCTTCCCAAGTCAGTCGCTTCTCCACGTGTTGTAGAAGCAACCCCACCAACACCACACATTCCCCTCCACACCCTCTTCCCCCCTCACTCCCCCTATTCTAACCCCCCCGCCCCACCCCACCCCTCACACTTCCCTTGTTCCTCCCATCCTTCCTGGTGTCGCCACACCCATACGCCCTCCTTCACACCCCCATCTCCACCCCACCTGCATTTTCTCTCCCTGTCTTTTCCTTCCCATGCTACCCCCAATTCCTCCAACCAACCCTCCCCCCACCTCTCCCCCCCTCCCCCTTCTCCCCTCTCCCTCATGCAGGTGGTATACATCAATGGAGTGGAGGCGGCACGCATGAACGTACCCAAGGGTGCTGACTCCACCACCCCTGCGAGCTCCTGGGGCAACTGGATTTATAACCCGTATAATGTTCACGGGCAGTGGCTGAAGCCTGCAGGAACGCCAAATGTGGTAGCAGTGGAGGTGCATCTATGGCAGCCTGGTCAGGACTTGTTCTTTGGGCTGCAGATGGGTGGTATTAGAGAGGCCGTTACGTGCAAACCTGCTCCTTGAATGATGCTGGCAGTGGCAAGGCAAAGCAATGCTGATGGTGGGTTTGTATTGTAAGCACAAGATGTTTTGTAAGTCTTTGTTTTGGAGTTTTATTATTATTAGTCATAAATGTCCGTTGCACTGCAGCATGTTGGTTGCTTTTTTACGATGGGTGGCTCCCGCACTAAGATTCTTGAACATCTACAAATGTGTACCTTATCCCTCTAGGGGTGGGTGGGTATACTGAAAACTTGCTAAAATAAAATACCCATCCTGTTACAGACACCGGGAGTCTTCTTTTCCGGGGCGTCCTACATCCGGGAGATTACCAGCGCTCTCAGGAAGTTCTCACAAATCCATTTCGTTATGAGCTATTTAGAAAGGACTTGCACCTTCAGAATCCACTAAGACTGCTTTTTGAACTTTCCGCACAGTGCCATGAAGTTTGTATCATGCCCAATTGTCACAAACCTGGCTGGCAACACCTTATCAGCAACCATGCTGCGTATCTCCTTTGTAGATTTGGGCCCTTCAGTCAATGAGTAAGTGAAGCTGTAGCGCTTGCGGCGACCACTCCTCCTGCTCGTAATGTTCAGGAAGCCAAGTCCAGTATCGCCTAGAGCATTGACAGCACAGGAACCTGAGATGGTTACGGCGGGTGCTTTTCCTCCAGATTTTATGTTCATGACGTCGAGGGTAAGGTACATGTAGCTTAACGCTCCTGAATACCTGCCAACACGACATCATGGAGAGAGCGATCATTGCAAAAGGGGGACCGACAGCCGTTGGGAGGGGGGTTGGGGAGGGAGTATGGGGCCACAAATCTAGGTTCTTCTGTTGGTGCCTTGCTATTGACAATAGAGCCAGTAGGGTGTGATCACAAGGAGACGTACCTCACTGCTTCAATGACATATTTCCCTGATGCGCCTTTGTCGCCGACTAATCCCCCGTTGATTTTAGTGGGACGCAGCTTGGCCACGTACTTACCTGGCGATGGGATTGGTAGGGGTGGGGGCGCACGGGGGGAAAGGGGAAGGTTAATACTGAGGAGGCATGGCTCTACGACAGCTAGAGAAGAGCAGCACGGTAGCATCATGGCAGGTGACAAAATGCTGACTGGGTTTTGAGAGCCCAGCAAAGCATTCACATGCAGCAAGTCCAAGCAGCATGCACAGCAGGTGCCTCTGAGACAGGACGGATTTTCTCGGAGGGAGTACTCACCTGGGCTGGGTTATCTCAGAATTTCGAGGCCCGTATACTACGTTTGAACAATGTAGCACTCTAGTAGATGGTTTGCATCTATATATGTTGGAACATAGTATATCGTTGTAGAAGAACGTTTGAATACTCAGCAATTGCTGGCAAAGCGGCGAGCGCGCTGCAGGCACTCACTCATTCTCCTCCCCTTCCACCTCAGGGGCCTGGCCTGAGAGGCAGACGCGGCATGATAAAGGTTTCCGTCGGGTGGGAGTAGAGGCGGGAGGAGCGATGCTGACGCGACGGCAGCGAGGAGCACCGCACCTGACGGACAGGCAGGGCACGCGCGATCGTGAGGGGGATGGCTGAAGTGACCCTCAGAACCAAAGGCCAGGCACTATAGCTGCTTGTGCGGGTGGTAAATAGCAGCGACGCATACGCGGAAGCATCCACAGACTAGCGATGGTGCGGCAAGTGCTTACAGAGCAGGATGCCTTGGAGTGACGACGCGCGATTCATGCTGGTACTGAATTTGCGAAGAAGAAGAGGAGGCGATTTCGAAATGAGGATCCGATGCTCGTGTTGCAAGTGATGTAATTCATCCCTTCAACCTGAAGCAATTGCTTCGGCGCGTTGGGAGGGAAGGTGGGACTTGGTCGGAGAGGAAGAGTGCGGGAGAGAAAAAAATCGTGAGTTGACATCATGCTGCAGTGAACAGAGCTGAAAGTTGCCATGCCATTATCACCGGCGTTTCTGAGTCAGCTATGTACTATTAGGTAAGAACCGTCATAATACGGACTACACAGCACAGCTTGTGCGTCGTAACGCCCAGCTAGTTGCTTGCAAGGAAAAACAAGACTCGACGTTAAAGCTTTCGTATACATTTGCAAGTACTGTTTGGACTTGCACTGTAGCCAGGGAAAAATTCGCCAGAACGAAACAACTGAGCGTGGCGAGAGGTTTGGCGAAAAATTGCAGCTTTGAGGAGTTCCAAACACAGGAAACTCCCCCGTCACCCAACCTTGGAGTCAGATTTCACTAGGAACCATGATATGTGACTAACATACGCTAAGCATAGATAGAGGAACCGGGGCGCGACAAAGAACATGCGGAGCATCGACACCGCTCAGATATTCTCATGTGAGATGAGTTTAGGTAACATTATAGGCTTGTGCGAGTGGGAAAATACATCTAGCTTGCACGCCAGCTCCTTTCCACTGCTGCGCCGTTCAGCGGCAATCGGAGAGGGAAAGGCTCTGCATTCGTCGAGCGCGTCGTGCTGCATTGATGGGCCCCGTCGAAGCCCTGTCAAGGGCGCCTCGACGGGTTGCATCACCACGCTGGGTAGGTGCGATCGAGTAAGCCGATTGAAAATTACGGAGCCGACGGCGGGATCGCATCGTTCCATGCGTTGGCCACGCCGCCACTCTCAACACCCGCTCGGTAGGCATTTCCCGCTTAGCGCCTCACCCACTGCGCGGGTCTCCCGCTTACCGCCTCCAATGCTGGGAGCTCTCCCGCTTAGCGCCTCACCCTCTGCGCGCCATGCCGCTTAGCGTATCACTCGCCGCGCGCCTTTCCCGCTTAGCGCCTGACCCGCTGCGCGCCTCTCCCGCTTAGCTCCGCAACCGCTGCGCGCCTCTCCCGCGCAACGAATAACTCGCTGCGCGCCTCTCTCATTTCGCGCCTCACCCCCTGTGCGCCTTTCCCGCGTGTCGCCTCACCCTCTCCCGCTTAGCGCCGCACCCGCTGCGCGCCTTTCCCGCTTAGCGCCCGCATAGCGCCTCTCCCGCTAAGCACATCCTCTTCTAATTACCCCCCCTCCCCCCTTCTCCCCCTCACAACCCCCCTTTTGAACCTCCCTTTTTCAAATGTATACGAAAGCTTTAACGTCGGAAGGGTTGCGTAGATGTTACATTCTTAGTTGATAATAATTAAAAACAAAAATGCAGTTTTTTCTTGCTCCAAATTTAGGTCTACCGTTCAAGGAATATGGCAAGCGCTTTTTGATGGTTCAATCTATTCGTTTCAACGTGGATGTTTATGATTATTAACAATTGATGTTTCTAATACGTTAAGATCTAGACACATTGATCGTTTTTTGTTTATATAGTGAACAATGATGTGCTCTTTCCTCAAAGATGATACTTTGTATTGTAACATTGCAACATTTCTTGTGGTTCATAGTGAGTTGTTTTCTGCCCACTCAGTGTCACGTGATTGTGCGTGTGTTTTCACGTGACAATCCCACCCACCTGTTGCCTCTTTCTCCCGACCACCTACCTCGTCATAGCCTCTACCTCCACCCCGCCACGCCATCCTTTCTTTCCCACCGCGTCGTCCTCTCTCCCTCCCACCCGCCGTCGCCTCCCACCCGCCGTCGCCTCTCCTTCCTACCCGTCGTCGCCTCTCCCTCCTCCCCGCCGTCGCCTCTCCCTCCTCCCCGCCGTCGCCTCTCCCTCCTCCCCGCCGTCGCCTCTCCCTCCTCCCCGCCGTCTCGTATCCCTCCTCCCCGCCGTCGCCTCTCCCTCCTCCCCGCCGTCGCCTCTCCCTCCTCCCCGCCGTCGCCTCTCCCTCCTCCCCGCCGTCGCCTCTCCCTCCTCCCCGCCGTCGCCTCTCCCTCCTCCCCGACGCCGCCTCTCCCTCCTCCCCGCCGTCGCCTCTCCCTCCTCCCCGCCGTCGCCTCTCCCTCCTCCTCGCCGTCGCCTCTCCCTCCTCCTCGCCGCCGCCTCTCCCTCCTCCCCGCCGTCGCCTCTCCCTCCTCCCCGCCGTCGCCTCTCCCTCCTCCCCGCTCTCGCCTCCGGCGACAGGTGCCCGGAGCGCAAGCGCAAGCGCGAGTTGGAGCGCGAGCACGAGTTGGTGCGCGAGCGCGGGTTGTTTTCTGAGGCACCGTGGTTATCAGGTGCGGTCCCGGTCCTTTCATCCTCCATCCCCCCGCTAAATTTTCCTTTATTTTCTGCTCTTGTCGTAAATTTTATGCGTCAATTTGTCTCCTCTTGCATTGCAATTTCATTTGAAGAAGGGGAGAGACTCAGCGCTAGGGAGAGCGTGCGCACGGGAGCGAACGCGCAGGAGAGAGCGCGTGAGAGAGAGCGTGAGAGATCGCGTGAGAGAGAGCGTGAGAGAGCGCGTGAGAGAGAGCGTGAGAGAGCGCGTGAGAGAGAGCGTTAGAGAGCGAGTGAGAGTGCGCGCGTGAGAGTGCGCGTGAGAGTGCGCGTGAGAGTGCGCACGTGAGGGAGCGCGTGAGAGTGCGCGAGAGTGCGCGCGTGAGAGTGCGCGCGTAAGAGTGCGCGCGAGAGTGCGCGTGAGAGGCCGCGTGAGAGGGCGTGAGGGAGCGCGTGAGGGAGCGCGTGAGAGTGCTCGTGAGAGTGCGCGTGAGAGTGCGCATGAGAGTGCGCGCGAGAGTGCGCGCGAGAGTGCGCACGTGAGGGAGCGCGTGAGAGTGCGCGAGAGTGCGCGAGAGTGCGCGCGTAAGAGTGCGCGCGAGAGTGCGCGTGAGAGGCCGCGTGAGAGGGCGTGAGGGAGCGCGTGAGGGAGCGCGTGAGAGTGCTCGTGAGAGTGCGCGTGAGCGAGCGCGCGAGAGTGCGCATGAGGGAGCGCGTGAGGGAGCGCGTGAGAGTGCCGCGCGTGAGAGTGCGCGTGAGAAAGCTCGTGAAAGTGCGCGTGAGAGAGCGCGTGAGGTAGTGCGTGAGGTAGCGCGTGAGAGCGCGTGAGGTAGCGCGTGAGAGTGCGCGTGAGAGTGCGCGCGAGAGTGCGCGCGAGAGAGCACATGAGAGAGCGCGTGAGGGTGCGTGTGAGAGAGCGCGTGACAGTGCGCGCGTGAG